TGTTGTTCTCAACATGGAGCATGCTATTGCTGCATATCTAATGGTCTCTCCCTTGCCCTCACTCACTTGCCGCTACTCATACTCTAGCTATCATGATATCATCCCCAAAACATTCAAAACATGGGCTAAAAAAACTATAAGAATAGGGATGATAATTCTATACACACCTAATAGTTACTCATATTTAATTGCTTACATATGGGGTGAGTACGGGAAGAGGTAAATGGGTGCAAGTATCTTCGCACTGCACCCGTACGTATTTTGAATCTTTGAATATTTGGAAGAAATAGATGTACAGTAACTAGGTCATTTTGTCCTATATTTAATTCTAAGTGTTAAGTCATTTTTGTGTCATAAATTTATATGTGTTATTCCATTACTTTTAGTTTTTTTTTGTTCTTTTTTTTTTCTTCAAAATCTTAGTGTTGATCCTAATATTTTTGATCCTAATATTATTGTGATATGGCTATTTCTTTGTCTTCTGTCAACAAATATGTTTAAATGAGTATATTAACTATTCAAAGTCCTGTTTTATTCTTTGTAATAAAATTGTTATTAATTAATACATACGTCTCCTGCAAAATTAATAAAAATGCAATTGAAAAAACCTAAGTTTAGTGCAAAGTTTACTTCGTAAAAATCCATAAGACTTGTGGTTCTATCACCAAAAAAAGAAAAAAAAATTATGATTTTGAGTGGTTAATAACGTTATTTTTAATTTAATTTAAACATATTTGTTGACGAGGACAAACAATGATCATGCCAAAATAATGTTATGACCAACATGGATGTTTTGGGAGAAAAAAAAAGATTAAAAATATAATAATACATATAAATCTATGACAAAAAAAAAAAAAAAAACAAACAAAAAAAAAAACAGAATACTTAACACTCAAAACTGAATAGACCAAAACGTCTTTGCATTTAACACAATTTAAACACCTTTGTTGACGATGGACAAAAAATGATCTCGCCACAATAATACTATGACCAAAGACAATGTTTTGAAAAAAAAAAAGTGAACTAACACCTATACAATTTATTTTCCACCAACTAAACAATAGAATATATATATATTTAAAATAATTTGTTTTCTATATATTAAATCCAATTATTTTCCATAAACGAAACTGACTCTTTCAAGTGTTTTACAATATGCAAAAAGTTGGTTTATTCATGATTCAACATGGTAAGACAAAAATACTCGTACACATACATATTTGTTAAGTATTATTATGTAACGGCATATTAATTTTGGAAAATGCTTTTTTCCCCTTCAAACTCGGGATGTGGAATTCGTTCATTGACCACACTACTAATTAAAAATGAATTTAACAACAAATAAGATTATGTTACTTCATGATGAAAAGTTTGTAAGGAAAATATATTAGGGGTTTGTAACATTGCTCATTAATTTGTATACACATTATTTTTTGAATCAATATTCCTATAAACTAAATAATCTTTACTATTAATACAAGAAAAATTCTCCTATTCAAAATTTACTGCCCAACCTAATATGAATATTAATTAATTCATAAAAAAATTAATAAAGCCTAATTATTAACAAAATTTTATATGAAAATTAACTAATATCTAATGACCACAAATTAAAGTTAATATGTACTTAAAAATAGAAAATGGATACCAAATTCTTATAATAATTAAACTATTATAATTGTGAGAATAATGAAAACAAATTATGCAGAATAAATGGAAAAATTCCTTTGAAATTTTGCATTAATTTTATAAATAAATAATAATTTATTAATTATTATTTACACCAATAATAATAATAATTTAAATACCGATTTTGCACCAATAATACTAATTTGAATTCTACATATGCAGAATACTTACTCTGCGTAATAGTAATTTTTGTGGTAACAATTCATTATATATTAGTTAATTTTCATATAAAATTTTGTTACCACTTAAGCTTTATTAATTTTTTACAATTAATTAGTATTCATATTAGTATAGATTAGCATACGGTAAGTAATATATATTAGAATCCCATTTGTATTACAAAATTAATATATAGTATATATTGTTTTAAAGTTTATATGCAAATTAACTAATATATTATAATTTCGGAATTTTCTATATAAAATTTTGTAATATATTAGTCAATATATACTAATATGAATATCTAATGAATTAGTACCACAAATTAAAGTCAATATATATATATATATATATATATATATATATATACACACACACATACACGCTTAAGAAAAGGAAAAAGGAAAATCTCAACAAAATTATTTTCCCAATTCAATAGATATTAGTTAATTTTCAAATAAAATTTTATTCTCAATAAAACTTTATTATTTTTTTTACCAATTAATTAATATTCATATTAGTATAGATTAGTGTACGGTAATTATCATTTGTATTACAAAATTAATAGTATATATTGACTAAAATTTTATATGACAATTAACTAATATATTATTCTCATATCATTAATTAACTAATTCTTTTTCAAATTCATTAAAATTTCAACGAAATTCTTTTTCCATATAATTAGTTAACTAATTCTTTTTCCAATTCATTATATATTAGTTAATTTTCATAAGAAATTTTGTTAACAATTAAGCTTTATTAATTTTGTACCAATTAATTAATATTTATATTAGTATAGATTAGTGTACGACTTCAGCCTCTGCCAATCGCCAAGGGAAGAGTCGCCGGATTCGACGGCGAGCATCCTTTGTCGAGTGTATAAATGGCGAAGGCAAAGTGAAATTTCTACACTACCCTCACATTTAACATATATTAGACGGCTATCGAACAAAGGACCAAATTAGTTAACATTTTCATAGTTTGAGGACTTAATTGGATAATAAAAATAGTCAAGGATCGATAATTTCGCTATAGTCAAGAGATTATTTTAATAATTAACTCAAATTTTAATTATACTTTCTTAAAATTTAAGGGCATATTCAATTCTTTTCCCAATTACTCCGTTCATATTACACTCCTGCCCCGTTTGGTTGACGGAATAGGTCGGGAATGGCATAGCATTCCCAGTAATAGACCTATTCATTTTTTGGTAACCATTTCTATTACCAAGAATAATATTCTTAGTAATAGCCTATTACCTCAAATAAGGTAATAGCTATTAGCTAATACCAGGCCCCCTAGTATTAGCCTATTACTGGAATAGATTTTATAATCTATTTTCATTTTTACCCTTTATTAAACATAAACTTCTACGCTTATCTTTCTCTGTGCAACATCTGCCATTACATCATATTTGAATTCTTCAACAAGCTTTTACAAATTAACTTCTACAAATTTTATATATATATATATATATATATATATATATATATATATATATATATATACTCTGTCTGCAACATCCGCCATTGCATCAATTTGAATTCTTCATCAAGCTTTTACAAATTAACTTCTACAAATTATATATGTATATCCGCAGCATTATATATACAAATATGGAGGTTTGTGCTCATTTTCTTACGTTGTTGAACAGCCAACGCAGCCAATTAAGACGCCATTACAAGACCTTCTAATCGATAATCGATAAGACTTCAGTTTTGTCAAATCTCAAACAAGTGAATATGTGCCATTTTTGTTGTCTTTAAGATACAAACTAAACATGTAAAACATCATCTTCTATTTATTCTATTTCATAGCTGAATCTGAACTAGCTTACAAACAACAACAACAACAAACAAAAAAAAAAAAAAAAAAAATTCATCAAAATAATGAGGATGAACATAATCAATAAAAATTTCATTTAAGATTGTCAAGTTTCAGAAACATAAACATAAGCATCATCTGCTTCATCTGATTATACTACTCCATAACTTAATCTGATTTAGCTTACAGACAAAAATCCTAAAAAATAATGAGGCTGAATGAACTGCACACCTCAGAGACTGGGCGGGATCTGATTTACCTTAATCTGATCTGCTTCTCCTTCTTCATCATCGTTCTCCAGGTCGGCACACCTCAGACCTCGAGGACTCACCGGCGGCTCTCATCAATGACGTTGTTCTCCGGGTCGGCACAGGAGTGTTAGATCTGGACGGCGACGAGCAGCTCCTTTTCCGGACTTTGGTACCAATCCCTCAATCCCCACCCGATCGTCCAAAACCATCCTCCATCGCGGGATCGCCGCCACAGTCAAAGCTAGAGTCGCGCCTCCAGAGATCGCAAAAGACAGCTGTTCCACAGTCCGATCGTGGCCATCACTCCGCGTCGACTCCTGGAGGTTGAGGACGACCATCGCCGGCCTGTACGACCACCGGAGCAGCCATAGAAGAGACTGCCCCGCGATTGCGAACTTGCGTCGTTGACATCAGATCACCATGATTTTGGTCCCGATGGAATCCGAGAGGCCTGACAAAGGCAACTGGAGGTCTTGGCAGTGGTTCGCCGGCCTGGAGGCATCGAATGAGACAGATGGTCTTGGGGACTTCGTTTGCTAATAATATAAATTAATGCAAAAACAGTGTGATAAAAGAGGAAGCAACACTGCGTATAATAAGAAAACAATATAGGATTTGGGAGAAGAAGACAATATAGAAACAAATTGATCATCTCGAGATTTGGGATGATCCATATTAACAATATAATCAAACTTTTGATTTGTGACGATCCATATTAACAATATAATAATAATAATAATAATAATAAAAATAATATTTTTTTACAAGGACAATTATGTCTTTTAAACATATATTCCATTCATATTTCTTAACCAACCAAACATTAGAATACAATTCTCAATGCTTCAGCGAACCAAACAACAGAATACAATTTATATTCTATTCTTTACATATTCCATTCCCTCCAAATTTATTCCGTGAACCAAACGGGCCATCCTAGAATCATAGCCGCGTATTTCCCATATCACTCAAAAAAATTTAAATATCATTTCTCAAAAGTCGAAATTCCTTTTCGTCAACTATGCGGAGTTTTGACCAGAGTGGACTTGGGTACGGGTAGTCGGGTACCACTCATAAACTCATAATTGCCTTAATTACTTGTGTTTTTGAAAATCCTGAAGCGCGGTTTCCGGCACTACCACCACTGCTCACTCCCCCGACGCCCTCCCCTGAAACCCTACAAATTTCTACTTACACATATCTACTGCTTATATACGTATGTAATTCTCCATCTTAGTGTGTAAAAGATCCTTAAATTTGAATGGGAACCAAAGAGAATTGCAGAAACGAGCTCCGTGCTGCCATCCGTCAGCTTAGCGATCGCTGCCTCTACTCCGCCTCCAAATGGTACCCTCCTTCGCATAAACCCTAAAATCTCTATAATTCTGTTGTTGCTGTAAAAAATTTTGAATTTTTGGCACAGGGCAGCGGAGCAGCTAATGGGAATTGAGCAAGACACGACAAAGTACCCCACATCTCTCACCCGGTTCCAGCGCGGCAGTTCCAGCATTCTCCGCCGCTTCCGCACCGCCACCGGAGAGGCTACCTTTTCTAGCACCCCTTCTGCGGGCGTGTCCTACGTGGCCACGCCGTCGGTGCTCGATGATGATGATGAATACGAGGCCGGGGATAGCGACTTTTACCTGCTTGCTAAGTCTTATTTTGATTGCAGGGAGTACCGGAGAGCCGCGCATGTGCTCCGCGATCAGACCAGCAATAAAGCCAGTTTCTTGCGGTGTTACGCCCTTTTCATGGTTTGTGCTTTTAGTTATAGTTTCCAATTTCATTGCTTTTCCGGCCTTTATGCTCTTTAAATTGGAAGTTACATATAGCATTCATTAACATACATATGATTCATAACTATTAGTGCTGATTTGGTAGGGTTTTAATGCCCCTCAGAAAGTATTTGACTTTTGGTATAATTGCAAATGTCTTAAGTGCACCCGAGGGAATTAAGTCTAATGCTAAGCAATATTGAAAAAATCGCTAGGCGCCTGGAAGACCGCCTAGAGCGCCTAGACGCCAATTAATCGGCGTCTAGGCGCGATTTTTGCAACACTGATGCTAAGTAAATTAGATGAAATTTGATCATGACGGACTGGGCGACTCATGATTTAACTCCTCACGCGCCCTTGGGTAGTGGCATGGACGCTTAGGATTAGTTTAGCGTAAGCTGTGAAACCTAATGTATAATAAAAAAACATGAAATTTGTTTCAAATTATTACCCCTTTTCACCTCTATATGCATTTAAGTCAAGCAAATAGTGTTTGCTGTTTCTTGATGGTTACTTTTGTCAGCATTTATGAAATTGGTTGTCTTTTTTCACTCCTTGTATTTGCATCCATAAATAGTTTATATTAATTGCCAGATAAAGTCTTTTAAAACAAATTAACTTGGATGGAGTTGATTCCGCAACAATGATTAATTATTACCTAGTTAGTCTTTTGCAGTTAGAATTAGGCCTTAGGTCAGTTAGGTGGTACAAGATGTGTTCTCTTAAATTGGGGAATCAAATCTGTCTTGTTTCATCAAATTTGAAGAAATGATTTGTTTCTTGCATATGCAATATGTGTTGTGTGATTCAATCAGTGTTATCAAGGCGACGCCTAGGCATCCGGTCGGTCGAGACCGAACGCCTAGTGTGCTCGCCTCACCTAAGTGCAGAATACAACCCAAAACTCCACAAAACATACATGGGCAGAACCTACACACTAAGGCGAGTTGACTGGTGTAATTTCCAACCGGAGAAGTCGCTGGAATCTGCTTCACGCGCCGGCGCGTGGTGCCGGAGCAGCGGCACATCGGCGGCGCGTGGAGGTGCATGGTGGCTCCGATGGCGGTGTGGTTCGAGCTCCGGCGTCGTCCTCCTGTTCCGATCAAAGCCCACTACCTCACTTTGGCATGTTATCAATAAATACTAGACTTCTCACTATTCTAGGAAAAACTATTCATCTACTTGAAGTAAATAGGTCAGCAAATAGGCTGCCCAAGACAAGATATTTTCAATATATATATATACTTTTTTATTTATTTAATACTCATTGCCTAGGCGGTCGCCTAGACTAGGCAGTCGGGTGGCATCTCACCTAGAAAGTCCGCCTTGATAACTATGGATTCAATTATTATAGTTTGTGTGATTCTCCAGAAAGATGACTGATGTTTTGAGGGATGCTATGTATACTATGTGTACAATGACTAATGCGGTATCATTTATTACTATATGGCTTGAAAGATACTTGGTGGTATTTTTTTTATTCCTATTTTTGTTCCTTGAAGGCTGGTGAGAAGCGAAAAGATGAAGAGATGATAGAACTTGAAGGGCCCTTAGGCAAGAGTGATGTTGTGAACCAAGAACTAGTTTCTCTTGAGAGGGAGTTGTCAACACTTCGCAAAAATGGGACAATTGACTCCTTTGGTCTTTACTTGTACGGTCTTGTTCTTAAACAGAAAGGCAATGACAATCTTGCTCGGACAGTGCTCGTGGAGTCTGTGAGTAGCTATCCATGGAACTGGAGTGCTTGGACTGAGCTACAATCCCTGTGCACCACGATCGAGACATTGAACAACCTTAATCTTAGTTATCACTGGATGAAAGAATTCTTTCTTGCTAGTGCTTTCCAAGAACTTCGAATGCATAATGAGTCTTTGACAAAGTACGAACATCTACAGGGAACTTTCAGTTTTAGCAATTACATTCAGGCTCAGATTGCTAAAGCTAAATACAGCATGAGGGAATTTGAACAAGTGGAAGTGATATTTGAAGAGCTTCTAAGAAATGATCCATATAGAATTGATGACATGGATATGTATTCCAATGTGCTGTATGCAAAGGAGTGTTCTTCTGCTTTAAGTTACCTTGCCCACCGGGTAATTTTGACAGATAAATACAGGCCAGAGTCCTGCTGCATCATTGGGAACTACTACAGTTTGAAAGGGCATCATGAGAAGTCGGTTATGTATTTTCGGAGGGCACTCAAATTGAATAAAAATTATTTGTCAGCATGGACACTAATGGGCCATGAGTACATCGAAATGAAAAACATCCCAGCAGCGGTTGATGCATATAGGAGAGCTGTGGACATAAACACATGTGATTACCGAGCCTGGTATGGATTAGGGCAAGCTTACGAGATGCTGGGAATGCCCTTGTATGCTCTTCATTATTTTAAGAAGTCGGTGTTCTTGCAGCCAAATGATTCTCGGTTGTGGATTGCCATGGCGGAATGTTACAAAACGGAGCAGATTAATATGCTTGAGGAGGCAATCAAATGTTACGGAAGGGCAGCAAACTTAAATGACAGAGAAGCAATCGCACTTGACCAGCTAGCGAAATTACATTCTCAACTAGGTCGTTCTGATGAGGCGGCGTTTTACTACAAGAAGCATTTAGAGAGGTTGGAATCTGAGGAGAGGGAAGAACCCAACACAGTTGAAGCCTTACTGTTTCTTGTCAAATATTACAAAGCTCAAAGGAGATTTGAAGAAGCAGAGATTTATTGTACCCGCCTTCTTGACTGCCAGGGTCCTGTAAGTTATATCCACCTTTTCACATTTATAAATGGCAAAATACCCATAGTTGTGTTGCTTATAACTCTTGAGCATATAATATATAACCATAAACGTGCAATCCAACTATCAGCTTAAGCTTTTAGTTGAGATAGAGCAAATGCTTCAATCCCCATGTCAAAAGTCATGAGTTTGAATGCGTCAGAGACTATGGTCCACGTGTTGCTTGGAGCTTGTCAAAAGTAACCAGCTCGCACATGTGAGGGGGCGTGTTGAGCATAGCTTAAGCTTTTTTAGTTGAGATGGAACCATGTTTCAATTATAACATTTTGGCAATTAATACAGGAGAAGGAAGCGGCCAAAAGTCTTCTTCGAGGAATAAGGCATGCAATGGATGTCCAGCATTTTCCACCCTAAGATTTGTACTGAGGGAAGTTTACTTGGAGATGGTTGTGTTATTTGTGTTAATGCATGTCATCTACTAGTTGACAAGCCCAGGGAGGTCAACTTGGTCTCAAGCAATCCTATAGTGGCTCAAAGTCTGTACTAAACTATTAATGTAGTTCTGTTCCCTAATTCCCATCTATTTATGTAATAATGTAGAAGGCACTAAGAGCATCCCATCAATGATTTTTGGGAAGGTTTAAGAAGTACAGAGTAATGTTTATGTGGAGCAGAGAGAAGTAGTTGGGTTCTTAGCTAAGTACATGCTTTTTGTCTCCAAAGTGGGACCTATAAAAAAAAAAACTGCCCCATTTGTTGTGTGATGCACGCATTCCAGCACTCCAATCGAGTGTGTTAATTTGACACTCCCGTAGTGTAAATGTTGGTCCTCAATTTTTCTGTATGGTACGGGAGAGACAATGTATGTATTGTTTTGAAAATTGAGGGACAACATTTACACCACTAATAATTCAGGAATGACATTGATAGTTGATATGTTATGAAGAGATATAAATTATAATCTTTTCTTATATATACCAAGTTGTCATTCTTATAAAAAAAATGAAGTTTTATTCATTAATGAATGAAATTGATGGAAAGATTGCAAGATGTCAAAACATGTTAAATTTTTTTTTTTTTTTTTTTTTTTTCTAGTTTGGAACTGGAACCATCTGGTTTCAAATTGGAAGAGACGTGTTTCTATTCCTAATAGATTAAATACCAATGGAGGTCCTCTGACTTTGGTGGCACTGTCACTTTTAGTCCTCAACCAGTCTTAGTCCTCTTACTTTTTATTTCTAGCCATCGATGGTTCTTCCGTTAAACTTGACCATCTAATGCCGTTTTCTCAAGGATAATTCAATCCTTTCATAATTAATTTATTAATTATTATGTTTGCCGAGTCATACTGAGATATCCCGACGTCGTTTTGGCACAACCTTCGTACCAGCTTTTGTACGCCATTTTGATTCATGAGCTGGTTTTGTACACGTTCATAGCTTGGGAAACCATTGTTTGACTATTCTGGTGAGGAAATTAAACATAATAATTAATAAATTAATTATGAAAGGACTGAATTATCTTTTAGAAAACGGCATTAGATGGTCAAGTTTAACGAAATGACCATAGATGGCTAGAAACAAAAAGTAAGAGGAGTAAAAGTGGTTAATTTAAAAGTAGAAGACTAAAAGTGACAGTGCCATCAAAGTCGGAGGACCTCCCGGTATTTACTCATTCCTAATATTATGAAATTAGAACCGTCTGTACATTTCTGAGTTCCTATCGTACGTAATTCTGTTCAAATTGCCATCCCTCAAATGGGGATAAGTTGACTAATCTGCATCCAATCCCTTCTAATAGATACTCTCTAAGGAGGTGTTTGATTGGATGGAAAATATTTTCTTTAGACAGTGTTACAAAAATCGCGCCTAGCGATTTTTCCAACATTGTCCTTGAATTTGAAGAAAACTAGATTTTCTTTTATTTAATTGGATGTAAAATATTTTTCTTCCCCCCACCCCCAAAGGGTATTTTGTTTTCTATGGAAAACATGAGGACAATTATGTCTTCACAAACTTTTTAAAATTACTTTTATTATTATTATTATTATTATTATTATTATTATTATTATTATTATTATTATTATTATTTAGGGGTATAATTGCCTTTATACTTATTATTCCTTACAAATCCAAATCTAACCAAATAATAGAATTTATATTTCTAGTAATTTCTTTTCCACCAACCAAATAATGGAATCAATTTTTCTGGAATTTATTTTTCATGGAATTTCAATTTCATTTTCATTTTTCAGCAAACCAAACGGGCTATACATGTTTTAACATATAAACAATGTTTCAATTCTATTTTCTTTCAAATATTTTTCAACGAACCAAACGGACTATAAATGTTTTGACATATAAACAATGTTTCAATTCTATTTTCTTTCAAATATTTTCCAACGAAGCAAACGGATTATAAATGTTTTGACATATAAACAATGTAAATAACCAGAACTATATATGTTTTATTTAAAATAAAACTTTTATATTGCAAACTGCAAAGTCAGTCTCATTTATTCTAAGTAATTAAAAGAAATACAATTACTGAAAAGTTTTTTGAAGCACTTCTGAAGAAACAGACCTTTTAATAAAAATTTTATACTTCAGTCACTCTCATTTATTCTTAAGTAATTAAAGTTTTTTTTTTTTCAAAGCACTTTGTAGAACTTTTTTCAATTTCACCATATTGATATTAAGAGTATCCCCATTTGTGATTTTTTAGGAGTTTTTTTTGTCAAGATAAAGAAAAATATTGTGAGATGGAGGAAAAAGAAGAAATTAAAATTGAACCAAGTTGAGTATTTTGTGGGGATTGCGCAAAGAGAGAAAAAAAGAAAAAGAAAGCACCAATCGATGCATTGAGCGCACTATGCACGCCCAGTTGACACATGACACATGCACTGCACGAGCCAACTATACAAGTAAATTTAAATTTTTTCTCTTTTTTCTGAAACAATTGTTTTTCATTTTTCTCTCCTCTTTTTTTCTCTTTCCTCTCTCCTATGTGGGCATGTGGCTTTAAAAAAAAATTCTTTTTCTGGAGGACGCTCTAATGAGGATTATAGACTATAGTCGTGTATATTATTGGTCAAAATATCAACTAATAATGAACTAAGGGTGTGTTTAATTCGCACATGAGAATCAAAATCGAAATCAAATACTTGGTAATGATATAAGTTTTGGTGAAAGTATTTTGTACATAACCAAAAATCAAATTCCATAACTGTATTTTAAAAAGTTATCAACCAAACATTAGCTATGATTTTGACTCTCATTCCTAGTGTGTAAACCCATAAACTAACCACAACCTAAGGTAACTGTCATCTAGAAAAACAAGAGAATACTGTAAATATCACATTACTCTAAGTGGGGGTACAACATCCACGTTTTTCATGTTTTACAGAACCCAAATTCAGTAGATGAAGATAAGTTCTTAGTACATTACCTTGATGCACCCTGTTCTTGGGGGCAACCATTCAAACACAAATGTTTATAACACAAACACAATTATTATCCCAGCATAAATGACAGGAGTTCAAATCCCATAACTTGGGAGTCATGCTTACAGTTCCAGGCAATTAATTGCGCTGAGGGTCACTGAAGAAACGGTTGAGGGATGGCATTATTTCTGGGCTCTTGTTGCGGACAAACTTTCTAAGAGAGTGCTCAGCATACTTCTTCCCCTCCTCATAGTTCTCCAACACTCCCGCAGCTCTTCCCTCCTTGTTAACCCTATCAAAATGCATATTAAGATGGTAGGTAAGGTCTGCTGTCTAAGTCCAAAAGTGATGAACATTGTTATTCCCAGTTCAATGGAAAATGCAAGTTGAGATCACTGCACATTAGTGCATAGTTGTTGCCTAGGCACCCTTTATTAGTACTTAAGAATAGAATCAAAATTTCTCACCTTCAATTTATATATTCTTCCCCACGTAGCATTGATAGCAATGATTTTGACCCAAGATGGAAAAATAATGCATTTTTAAAATTAAGAACGACTAAATTTTTCTTAGTGGCCAAGCACCTTGTGCTCAGATGGCACCCGGGTTGGACTCCCATGTGGGAGGTAGTGAGTTCGAGTTTCAGTGGAGGCATTATTGGCTCTTTGTGCTTCAGTAGGTTGAGAAAGTAGTTATGAATAGATACTACATTGTAATAGAGTCAGTAGCATTCAAAAAAAAAAAAAAAAAAAATCTTAGTAGGTCAAATTAATTATAATGAAGCAATAAAGTTTTGATCATTTTAGTGTACCAAATGAACCAAGCTACCAATCTTGTAACTTAGCCACATGTGTCATTATTTTTCATACCCATTGGTTACTTGTCTGATCAACAGCACTTTGATACATTCATTTAATCAAATGAAGGGACATTATACAATGCAAAATCTCCAGCATTACATTCATTTGGGTTAGTAGAACGACATCATTTGGCGTCTAAGAGGCATCTTGGGGTTGGCTGGCTATTACAGGAGATTTGTGAGAAGATATGGTGTAATCGGCAAGCCTCTTAACAACTTGCTAAGAAACAGAGTCACTTGTTGAAGGCCAAAAACAGAGTGAAACAATATGCCAACAAAAGGAATGACAAAGAATTCCTTGTGGGAGATTGGGTTTATCTCAAGCTACAGCCTTAAAGGCAGAGTGGCAGACTTCAGCTGGTATCAGGAAAAATGTTAGGCTAGGTTCCAAATACTATGGGCCTTCTGGATAGCTCATTATCCATTTTTCCATGTCTCTGAGCTAAACACCATCCAGCTGAGGTTCAACCTCCCCTCACTAGTCCGATGGGCAGCTCCTTACAGAACCTAAAGCTATAATCAAAAGGAAATGGTGAAGAACAGTGCTGCTAGTGCTGAGGTGTTAGTTCAGTGGGCAAATTTAAGTCAGGAGGCTACATGGGAAGATTATACCCATCTCAAGACTCAGTTCCCTCATTTTAATCCTTAAGGACAAGGATGAGCTTGCAGGGGCATGAGTGTTACATTCCCGAATGAATAAGAGGAAAATGGTGGTGTTTGGGTTAGTAGAAAAACATGTCGGAAAGCTTTCATTTTGACCATTGCTGGAGTATGAATTGAGAGTGTGCATCAACAGCTGGAGGGAAGGAACAGTGCCTGATCCGGAAATTCAGCTAGAGTTTGTTAGTTGTTTTTCATTTTATCTTCCTGAAAAGTATGTAATGAACTCTCGTTTTCCTTTCCAATCTCTTATCAGTTTCCTTCTATATTCTCTGCATTTCCCCCCTATTTATGGTTTCTTAGCACACTGCTTCCCAGAGTTAGCTCTGGAATTTCCAGACTTTTCATTAGATTGATTATTTGCAGTGATTTAGACATACCTTTTAAGTCCAACGATTCGTAGCTTAAAATCATACGCAGATTTTATTTAGTTTCAATTTCAAAAAACTATAAATAAATAAATATTTTTAAATAAAAAGAATAGAAACCTAAATAATCGGAGATATACATCCCATGGAAACTGAACAGAGATCATATAGATATACTACTCTCAGAGCTTATTCAAAGGAAATCAAACAATCAATCAATCAATATATCAATATAATTAAGAACAAAATTTATAAACTGAAAGTTGTATATAGGAAAGAGAGAGGGAGACCTGACTTCAGGATTGGTGGTGATATTCCGGATCAACTGAAATCCACAGATTCCGACAGCTACGCCCATGGCCGCAAACAGTGGATAAACCTGAAAGGCGCACACATATCCATATTACAAATCACATAAATTCCGGCGAAAACACACACATACTCCGATTCAAGTGTATATATATAGAAAGGGAGAAAGAGAGGAGGAACCTCGGGCCTGATCCAGCGGCTAGAAGCCATTGAAGAGAGCTGTGTTGCCTGTTGTGTTGTGTTGAAGTACAAAACACCAAAAAAGAAAATGAAGCGACAGATTTCAACGCTATCGCCCTGCACCTGCTGCTGCTTTATTTGGGAGAGAGAGTGTTCGATGGGGACGCCAACATCGAGGCAAACCTGTCATCCAATAATTGATCGCCACGTACACAAATGTGGCCTAGTGGGGCAACTACTTCCAAATATATTCTTAAATATAAAAAACAAAAGCTAAGGAGACGTTTGGTTTATGGCAAATGTTTTCCAAAAAAAAAATAAATCTTTAAAGTGGAGGAAACTGTTGGTTTTTTTTTGTGTTTGGTTTATAAAATTCATTTTCTATTGAAAAATGAATTTTTTAAATTTGAGGAAAATAAAATTTTTGATTAGATCAAGGATTTTATTTTCTATGGAAGATGAGAATACAAAATGATATAGTTTGACTATTTTATCTTTGTTTTCTTTCTTTTTTTTTTTTTTTTTAAAGCACCTTTGTTTTCTTCATAATTATATTACTTTTATTAATTTGTAGGAACATATAGCTCATATCACTTTAATAAAAAAATTTATTTTTATCAATAAATAAAGTATTAATAATAATAAAAATAACAATAATAAATCCAAAAATTGTCATTGGATGGTGTTACAATTCTGACACCGTAATTGCAAGTTGTCATTGAATGGTGTTGGAATTCTAACACCGGAATTGCAACACATTCGAACCTCGACCGCGGTGACAGTGTGAAAATTATGTCTAAAGTGAACAAATTTTTTGTGCGCACCGCCATTTGGTTCCGTCATTTGACCCTGTTTACTGAACCATTGAGTCACCGTAATTTTCATCCTCTCACATGCTTTGTCGGGTCGAAGTGTGGGGACCCTTAAGGTTGGGGATTCAACATTTTGGGACAAAAAAAAATGTCAACAAGCCTTTGAAATTGCCAAAATTCCATGGGTGCGGATGGTCTAATGGCATGTTTGGTAGATTTTATATGTGTGTGGGGGGAGGGGGGATGGTTCACGTGCGAAAGGTCTCATAGGTGAAAAATTGTGTGAGATATGAGCCGTTTGGCTAATCTGGATCAACGATTCAAAATGAATGATTTTTTTTTTTTTTTAAATGTGCTTCCTATCAACATGGATGTCGATGATCAAGTGTCTCGAACTATGCATGTTAAGCTAGAAAATAATGCACCATAGGCTTTAAACATACGCACATTAAGAGATAAATTGATATACTTTAAACTAGAAAGTGACCACTTTAAGCTTTAAACATACGCACATTAAGAGTTAAATTGATATACTTTAAACTAGAAAGTGACGCACCTTAAACTTTAAACATACGCACCTTAAACTATAAATATACACATCTTAAATTATAAACTTACGCACCTTAAACTTTAAACTTCTCAGGCACCTAAAGCTATAAACTTACACACGTTAAGCTTTGAACTTATGCACCTTAAGCTGTAAAGTAATGCACCGTAAGCTTTAAACATATGCACCTTAAACAATAGAGTGACACACGTTAAGCTTTAAAATACACATCATAAGCTATAAACTTACGCACCTTAAGTTATAAACTTATGCACATTAAGCTTTAAATTTAAGCACTTTAAGTGTTATACAGACACATAAAGCTATAAACTTACTCTGTAATCTTACGCACCTTAAGTTTTAAACTTACACCCTTTGAGCTTTGAACTTACGCAAAATTACTGTAATGCCATGACATTTTTTAAAATTTTTTCTTCATTATCAGATGTTGATTTTGGCTAGATCAATGATTGAAATTTTATCTCATTTTTTACTTGAAAACCTCCTTCGCATTTGATATTTTCCTTAATTTTCAGTAACTCTCAACCTAAGATCTACTTAGGGATGGTAACGGGGCGGGGAGTATACTTTCGACCTTGTCCCCATCCCCGACGGGGAATTGAAAATAGTCCTCATCCCCTTCCCTGCGAGGAATTAGGCGGTCAACTCTTAGTCAAAATATTAAATTAGTGTAGTTTTTAATTTTTAAAACTGAAAACCTAATTCTGAATTTTAAAAATTTATTTATATACAATTCCCCTGTCCCCGTCCCCGACGGGGAATTACATACATTCCTCATATTCGTCTCCGTTTTTTGAAATTTTTTCTCATTCTCGTCCTTGCCCGGGATAAGAAAAATTGCCATCCTTAAATCTATCTAGATGGATAAATTATATTAGTCTTCACTTTTTACGTGATAATATATTTTCACATGAACTCTCTCATATATAGAATTCAGGAATAGTTAATATTAAGAACCCTTAAGAAGGGCTATTCATTGTAAAAGGGAATAACTAATTCCATGAATACTATTTGTAGGAATAAAATGTAAAAACAAATAATAGAATACACCTATTTTCAAAAATGTTATTTCACTATTTCATGAACCAACATTTATATATTTTATAGTCTTGGACTAATTGCAGAATTAATCCAAAATTCAAATATGGGGATCAAATGGGTTTGGCCCAATATACATTAATTGAAACTTCAAGTCCAATTTAGTCATCAAAATTGTAAGCCCAATCTTTACCCAAATTAGTTTAGCCCATTATCTAAGACCCATTTTACCCATTTTCCGGCCTAAACCTTTTCCTCTTAACCTTCTCAGGTGGAACAGTAGGGGAGAGCAAGGGTTTTGCAGAGTAGAACCTGGTAGGGCCGTAGGGGTTTTTTTCGCGGCTTGCAGAGAACCAGAGAGGGTTTTGAGCTACGAGGGCCGCCAATTGTTTCAGTCTTTCAGAGAAGTTGAAAGCCGCTGGTTTGGTTAATACCATGGCAACTAGTAAGAAAAAAAAAATACGATTTTGTGAATAATTTGTTATTTGTTCTATAAAGTTCAAACATTCATTTCGAAATTGATTTTGGTGCAGGGTTGCAGTTCGAGAATTCATGTGAAATTGGGGTCTTCTCCAAGCTGACAAATGCTTATTGCTTGGTCGCCATAGGTGGATCAGAAAACTTTTACAGGTTCGTTTGACTCTTTTATAGCTATAATAATAATAAATAGTTTCTAGTCTGTATTTTGATTTTTGAGAAGGTATTGATTCGAGGTTGTTTATTACATGTTTATGTTGTTTGTAGCACGTTCGAATCTGAGCTCGCAGATGTCATTCCAGTAATTAAAACCTCCATAGGTGGAACCCGGATAGTTGGACGGCTTTGTGCTGGCAAGTCTAGAAATGGCTTTTAGAATGATATGCAGGAACATTATCTTGTTTATTAGCTCTTATTATTCTGTTTTTAACTTTGCAGGAAACAAAAATGGGCTTATTTTGCCTCATACTACTACTGACCAAGGTAACTTCATAATTACAAATGCTTGCTTTTTGTGTGTGTGTGTGTGTGAGTGTCATGTTAACACTCAAATTAGGATGTTTATCTTTGAATATTTGATTTTAAAAATTTTCATTTCATGTAACTTGTCCAATTTTGCAACTCTGCAAGTGTGTGTGGCCATTCTATGAAGTTATAGTACATCATGTTGGTTTGATATTTATTGGTTGTCAGGACTTGGGACTTGACTAGGTTGAGTGTCTGAATGGCCCATACCACACTGCTTAATTTGTGGTACGCTTAAACATATAAGCGAGGCCTAACACTAAAGCTTTTAAATAAGGGTAGATAAGATTTAATAAAAGAAGCCTCCTTTTCAAGAACCTCAAGAGTTGAGGCATCTTGAAGAAGAGGCTTTTTTGAGAAGCTCAAGTTGGGCAAATAAGTTCTATTCATCACACATTGATGGCGTTTTCAGTAAATGAATTAGAAGATTTAAAGATGATCAGATATGGTATCTGGGTGCTTAGAGGAATTTTATTGAGCTTATGCATTGTTCAAATTTAACACTTAATTCTTTAAAAAAATCAGGATTAAAAATGTTCAAAATACTTCAAATTTAGTATATGGGTGTTTAGAGAAATTGTATTAAGCTCATTCATTGTTTAAGGTCCTAAATGTAACATTTTTCTAAAAAATATTTTTCCTAAATATAATACTCATAACTGCTGTTAAGTACTGTATATATTTATTTACATTTTTCTTGTGTTAATCATTTTTTCATAGGATTAAACACCATGTGATAAGTTCCTTATTCATGATTGAAAGATTAAACTGACTTGTATTGCATGGTTCTGTGTCTTCTTTCCGTTGGAAGAGCTTCAACACTTGAGAAACAGTTTGCCAGATGGTGTTGTTGTTCAGCGTGTTGATGAGAGATTGTCTGCTCTGGGCAACTGCATTGCTTGCAATGACCATGTTGCTCTTACACACACAGATCTTGATAGGGTAATATCATCTATTTCTTTTAGTTGGAAGAGTTTGTAAGGATCAAATTTCATTTATTTCTTTAGGTTGGGAAACTTTGTTGTGAAAGATTTTTAAATTTTGTATGCTGTTTGTCAACATGTTTCACTTTTTTAAAAACCTTTCAAGAAACCTTTACTGTTTACCTATGGCATTGGGTGCCTCCTTGTCACTATGGGATACTAACAAAACATTGGGTCGGATCACGAATGGTTATATTTGGTCATTTGTGTGTCTTGCTGATTTGTGGTTGAGATATGAGGAAACATGAGTCACAGATCAAAGAAATTAATTAAAAAAATATTACGTAATTATTCTCCGTGTTGGTCTGACACCCTTTAATTTATTGTTTTTTTTTTTTTTTTTATTGAGTTTTGCTGTCTGAGATGTGTAATTTGTTAACTCTGGAAAAGTATTTTGTTTGTGGGGAGTGTGACCAAATTCATGGATGAGTTTTGCAACCAACCAATTTCAATGTCAATAGATCACTCCTACCACATGAATATTCTGTATTGGTAGTGCATGTTGTATCCAACTATCTGTATCATTATTTTATTTCTGCAATGCGTTTATTTTATGGGTTTTTAATTAGGAAACTGAAGAGTTGATCGCTGATGTTCTTGGAGTTGAAGTCTTTAGGCAGACAATTGCCGGAAACATCCTTGTTGGCAGCTATTGTGCTTTTTCTAATAGAGGTGGATTGGTAAGTACGGTATTTCCTTTTGTGGAAATAATTCCTGTCCTCTAATTTTTCCTCTTCTTATCACGAAATAGTTAATTTGAATGGCATCAGATATAGATGAAGTTTGAACCATCTACCAGATTTCACTATTGCCCTTGTTTTGAGCAGGTACATCCTCATACATCTATTGAAGACTTGGACGAGCTTTCAACTCTCCTCCAGGTTCCTCTGGTGGCTGGAACTGTGAATCGTGGGAGTGACGTGATTGCTGCCGGATTGACAGTGAATGACTGGACAGCGTTCTGTGGCTCTGATACCACCGCAACGGAGTTGTCTGTCATTGAGAGCGTGTTCAAGTTGAGGGAGGCTCAACCTAGTGCTATTGTCGATGAAATGCGAAAATCGTTGATTGACAGCTATGTCTAAAGTTTTGTTCACATTTAAGCATCCTTGGCACCAATACTATATAGAAGGGAATTGATTTTTCTGCTCTTTGCTTTGTTCTTGTGTTTGTAATGTTGAAATGATGTTGTCATGGTAATCAAATACATTTGTTTTAAAGTGTTACATTGTTATGTTGTCATGATTATTCCCGACCGTATCATCCCGTATACGTGCTCGGTACCGGGGCATCCCACCGAGTAAAGCTGAAAGCGCGTTGATCCGACCCCGTTTGCAAACCCGAGTAAAGGTTTGCTCGCAGGCAGTGCCTGATTTTTATTATTTCACTCGACCATATTAGGTCGAGATCGTCCATCCGACCTACACCACTTGGGGCCTTAAGTTATGTTCCCGCAACCAAACCCAGTAGTAGTGATATGAACTTAGTCCAAGGTTCAAATAAAGATGGAATATTGTCCCAAGAATGCTCTCAATGTAGAGATAGAGATGGATCGAAATACCTTAAACCTCACGAGAAACCCTTTGTCTTGAATCCTCAAAGACTTGGAAGAATCCCATTGTAGCTTCAAGTACTTCGATGATGCAATCTTCAATCAACTAGAGTCGGATTTAGTTTCCTTCGATTCAAGAACGAGTCCACGAACCTAAATCTAAGGTTGAAGAAAGGAAGATTGATTCGAGTCCACGACTAGCCACTAATTGAGTCCACAATTAGCCACTAATTGAGTCCACAATTAGCCATAAGGTTTCTTACACAAGTGTAAAGAAAAACTTAAGAATTTTATTGAATTAAAGCCGGCCTGAAACTGATATGGATGTGCCCTTTATAGGTATAGGGGCAGCATTATAATTCTAAATACAATGGAAAAAAGAGTCCTAAACCTAATCTAGAAAACAAGTAAATAGAGTTTTATTTAGAAAAGGATTTAAGGAATCATTTCTAAATACAACTAGTGTTTTCTCTTATATGCCAAACAATTTAAATTAATGATGACCAAAAATAATAGGGCTGAGTTGGGCCTAATTTAATCACCAAAATCAGCACTTAAACAATTATAAAAAGCCTTGAATTCTTCTTCATCTTTTGCAAATGGGCTTGACTTGGATTTTCACCATCTTTAAATATCACCAATGAAGAGTTGTCTTAATCGTTTGGACTTAGGCCTGGTAATTGGTACTCTTGATGGATCTTCATTATGTTGGGCCGCATCAAGTAGTGAGTCCAAGAAAGTCAGGAATCTCAAGGCATGCAGAGGGACCAGCGAAGCCTCCGACCTTCTCATGTGCGTGCATTTCACGTGCCACACATGTTGAGAGACCGACATGTGCTCCCTCGCACTTCTTATAAATACCGCATTAAATGCGGAGAGGAGGACTTTTAAACATCTCTATTTTAGCCTTATTTAGCTTGGAACTACCTCATGTCATCATTTGAGCGACCTTCTCATGTGCGTGCGTTTCACGTGCCACACATGTTGAGAGACCGACATGCAAACTTATTAAAAGCGCTGAGGCGAGCGACACCTTGTCCTCCGCTTTAGCAAGGCGCAACCGTGTGAAAAAGCGTGCGCTTGAACACGCTTTTCCGGTGAGGCGACGATTCCGAAAAAGCGGCAAGGCGGTGAAAGCGAGGCTTTACCATGCAGCACGCAAGTCAACGGTCAAAAAAACAAAAACAAAATTCTAACCTAACCCTAAGTCGTGATAACAAACCTCGGACCTCTGTTCTTTGCTCTTCTCTGCTCACCCTCTCCGTCCCTCACTTCTTTCTGCCAATCTGCCTCGACCATCATCGTCGCCGCTTTGCCGCCACCTCGCACCGCCTCTTCCCTAATAGCCGAACTCAGAATCCCAAGGTAAATCGCCCATGCGTCTCACTCCGTTTTTTCCTCTTTCTCTTCTTACGAATTACGCTGTTGAAGACTTGAAGAAGAAGACTAGTCTGAGGTTAAAATGTTAGATAGGAATAGAGTTGTAGTCTTGGTTGGACACTTGGCATTAATTGTTTACACTTCACAGTGCACATTTTGTGTTTTTTATCTTTTTTTTTTTTTTTTTTTTTTTTTTTTTTTTTTGGGTATTAAATTAAGTTTTGAAAATGCTATATTTAAAATCTTAAATTTCAATTTACAATTAATTCAATTAAGATTTATGCCTTTATTATTGAATTATTGATTATTGATTGTTGAATATGTGTTATTTTGATGACTAAATGACTTGATGACATTATTTTGATGACTAAACTTTGTATTATTACAATATTGTGACTTTAGGAGTTTCTATTTATGTTATTTTACATTAGTATTTGAGTATTTTGAGTATATGTTAATTTTTTTAATAAGCGTCGCTTTATGTGAAAAAGCGACGCTTCGCTTTGCGCTTTCGCTTTAAAGCAAAACCCAAGCTCATCGCTTTGGTTTGCTTTTTCGCTTTAACAAGTTTGCCGACATGTGTTCCCTAACACATTTTATAAATAGCGCATTAAATGCGAAGAGGAGGACTTTTGGACATCTCTATTTTAGCCTATTTAGCTTGGAACTACCTCATGTCATCATTTGAGCGACCTTCTCATGTGCGTGCGATTCACGTGCCACACATGTTGAGAGACCGACATGCAAACTTATTAAAAGCGCTGAGGCGAGCGACACCTTGTCACTCCGCTCCAGCAAGGCGCAGCCGTGTGAAAAAGCGTGCGCTTGAACACGCTTTTCCGGTGAGGCGACAATTCCGACAAAGCGGCAAGGCGGTGAAAGCGAGGCTTTACCATGCAGCGCGCAAGTCAACGGTCAAAAAAACAAAAACAAAATTCTAACCTAAGCCTAAGTCGCGATAACAAACCTCAGACCTCCGTTCTCTGCTCACCCTCTCCGTCCCTCACTTCTTTCTGCCAATCTGCCTCGACCATCGTCGTCGCTGCTTTGCCGCCACCTCGCACCGTCTCTTCCCTAATAGCCGAACTCAGAATCCCAAGGTAAATCGCCCATGCGTCTCACTCTGTTTTTTCCTCTTTCTCTTCTTACGAATTACGCCGTTGAAGACTTGAAGAAGAAGACTAGTCTGAGGTTAAAATGTTAAATAGGAATAGAGTTGGAGTCTTGGTTGGACACTTGGCATTAATTGTTTACACTTCACAGTACACATTTTGTGTCTTTTTATCATTTTTTGGTATTCAATTAAGTTTTGAAAATGCTATAATTAAAATCTTAAATTTCAATTTACAATTAATTCAATTAAGATTTATGCCCTTATTATTGAATTATTGATTATTGATTGTTGAATATGTGTTATTTTGATGACTAAATGACTTGAATGACATTATTTTGATGACTAAACTTTGTATTATTACGATATTGTGACATTAGGAGTTTTTATTTATGTTATTTTACATTAGTATTTGAGTATTTTGAGTATATATTAATTTTTTTAAATAAGCGTCGCTTTATGTGAAAAAGCGACGCTTCGCTTTGCGCTTTCGCTTTAAAGCAAAGCCCAAGCTCATCGCTTTGATGCGCTTTTTCGCTTTAACAAGTTTGCCGACATGTGTTCACTAGCACTTTTTATAAATACCGCATTAAATGCGAAGAGGAGGACTTTTGGACATCTCTATTTTGGCCTTATTTAGCTTGGAACTACCTCATGTCATCATCTGAGCGACCTTCTCATGTGCGTGCGTTTGACGTGCCACACATGTGTTCCCTCGCACTTCTTATAAATACCACATTAAATATGGGGATGGGGACTTTTAGACATCTCTATTTTAGCCTTATTTAGCTCGGAACTATCTCATGTCATCATATGAGCTTAAGTCTTAAACCAACAAGCAGACTAGAGAAAGATCCGTTTACGGTCCGATCTCATCAGTTTTATGTATTCGCGAACACAACTGCATTTACCACATCAAATTACATTTAACTTTTTAAATTAGAGTGAATATCTAATATAGTCCTCGACTATAATGATTTTACTCGATTTAGTCCTAAGTTACTTTTTGTGCTTAATTTAGTCATCGACTTTGATGTTTTTACGCAATTTAATTCTCCGTTAAAAATTTTATTAATTGACTGTTAGAAGTAACGTTAGTATGATAATTTCTCACCCCTTATCATATTTAGTCATATTACTTCTTACTCTTCCCCTTATTTCCTCTAATTTTCCCTCCCTCTCCTTCATCTACAGTAATTTCCCCATATCCACTCTCTTCCTTCCTTAAGCCCTAGAAATCCTAAAGTGTACACAACTCAACCATTGTTGAATAAATTGGCAAAGAGTAATAACAGGGATGTGAGACGAAGAATTGAAAGCAAATGCACACTAAAATATGGTACGCACAAAGAAACCCTACTTGAGTTGATTGTTTGCCTGATGTTTGTGGCTTATGTTTATCATCGTGCATTTCTTTTCGGGCTCACACACGCACGCGCGCACGCGCACACACACGCACGTGCACACACACACACACACATACACACGTACACGTACGTGCGCACACACACACACACACACACACACACACCGAAAGTCAACAGTGTTGAATGAAGAGTGGGGATGGAAGAAATTAAACTGTATGGCTTATATATAGGGGTGGTAAAAATCGTAGAGCCTTATAAGAAATGAAAGAATTGGATACATTTAATATACATCACTACATGAAAATAATGCAGTTTCCGTACGGTTAAAAAATAATAATACTCCGTCATAAAAAGCTTAGTTCCAGGATGTAAACTCTTCCAACATGTTTATGTTTTTGCTCTTGTAAACTATTCCAGTTTGTTTGTGATGTAAATATTTATTTATTTATTTAGGGTTGAAGTTGATTTGAGGATGAAGATTTGCATTTATGCGTGGAGCTTAATAAGGGGAAGAAGAATGAACATCCCAAATGGGATGAAGGATGAAAATTACTGTTAGATCCTATTTTTAACAGTCAACTATCAGAATTTTTAATAAATAACTAAAATGTGTAAAATCATCAAAGTCGATGATTAAATTGAGCACAAAAAGTCACTTATGACCAAATCGAGTAAAATTACTATAATCGAGGACTATATTAGGTATTAACTCTTCTAAATTATTATGTAATAATTACTACTAATCAGGGTTGCAAAACTCGGCCGCCTAGGCGCTAGGCGGCACCGAGCCTTGCCGTTTTGGCCTAAAGGCAGCCAAAACTTGGCCGACCGCCTAGGCGGCCAAACTCGGCCGAGTCGACCGATTTTGACCGATTTCGTCCGATTTTAACCAATTTTGTCTGATTTTGACTGATTTTGTTCGGTTTTGACCTATGTCGTCTTTCATTAATTATAGATTTTAATATTATTATGATGTTATGACTTATAAATTATTATTATTTCATTTATTTAGATGTGTTATTTGATTGAATGTTGAAAACAACCTCATTAAAATTGTCAAACTACAAGTCTGTCACTATTTTTTTTTAATTTTTTGGTGCCCGCCTAGGCGCCGCCTAGACCACCTAGGCGCTAGGCGCTGCCCGACCGCCCGACTAGCGCCTAGCTCCTACTGCAACCATGCTACTAATTAACTAACTACTATGCTTTATAAATGATTAAAGAAGGAGGTTAATAACAAGTATACTTTCAACCGTATAATACTACCTTTTTTTCCACTATACACATACCTGAATAATATCATAATTTATTACATTTAACTAATTTTTCAAAAAAAAAAAAAAAAACTAACATGCATTGTGGAGTCCATTTTTTATTCATCAAACTTTTCAAAAGCATCCTATTTTTGTATTTAGAGACCAAAAAAAAAAAAAAAAAAAAAATCCAACCCTGATTTATGATTCGGCATTTTCTACCGTCTGTGTTATTTTCACCGCAAAGACATGGCTCTGGCGAGTGGCGAATCAAGGGCTTTTGGCGCGGGAAGGATAATGGGCTGCATCTCTAGGGTAATTGGTTCTCGAGTGAGGAGTTCAGAGATGAGAATACGGGCGGTGATGAAGAATACTCCACCGGAAGGAGTGGTGGAGATGATGAGGAGGGAGCCGTGGGAAGAGTAGTGCTTAGAACTGCCAGAAACATCGCCGTATTAGACTAGAGTTTCGCTATAAATTTGGTGGAATTAATCAGGAGACATGGTGCCTAACATCCTCAAACCAGTGAAAGGTGAACATTCTTGCCGTTTTAGTTTTTACAAAGAATGCCACTAGCTTTATATATATGTTGTGTGCACAATTGCTTGTGATAATTCCAGCAGGCAATGCAAAATCTTAGGTGAATGGAGTAGCAACTCCATCAGTCCCTCATCTTTGTTCTTATAGAACATGAAATACTAACAAAAATGAGTAGCTTTAATATTCAACTGTAAAGCTTCTCAATAGGATTTATAGACTAATAATTAAGAGGCAAAGGAAATCACTTCAAAAATATCGTTTTTAATTTGTTGGCTACTTGGCTTGCTAATGTTCCAACTTGTCTGATTGTAGTATCAAACCACTTGTATCAGACTCTACGTCTCTACTTGATGTTTCTTATGCAGGGCAGTTGACACTTGGGAAGGGGAATTGCTTTACTAAATGGACTTAGAGATAGTGTACATTTATCCAACTTTTAGTAATTATACGAAGGGTGGTGGTGTGTCTTAGAGGGTATAGAAAAACAAAGTCTACTTTGAGTTATGAGAAGTATAAACAGCATTAAAAGATGATACTTGGGGATATTGGCAGTTCAGATAAATGCATGATGAAGAACATGTATCAGTAGAAGGGAAAGAATGGTTGTGGGATTGATAGGTTTGAGTGAAAATGAAGTAGAAGAGGCAACAAGAGTACAAGAATGAGGTATAAGAACTCTTCTGGTATTATCCTTAGTTTAGTTGAGTAAATCATGGGGAAATTGATGGTTGAGAATGTTAGACAAAGCATAAAGCTTGTTGGAAATTCCTTGGTATGGAGACAGTTCTTGGATACAAATATATAAAGCAGTAGAGGGAAATAAAAGCCTCGAGGAAAGCGCAATATGGAGACACTGGAGACTAGTGTTGGTTACAATTTAGGATCTGGTCTTTGGACTTTACCTTCTACCATGTGCATTTTGAAAGTTAACCCTACGTGGGAATCAAAGGGGCATTTTTTATCTAGCAGGAAACATACAGAAAAGTATCCTGTAATAAATGTAGCAGTTCATACATTTAACACCTAGAGTTTCCTTTTAACTTTATGTTCTTAAATTTAGCTGGTTTCTTGGTCCCCAAATTTTGTGTTATATCTTTCCATATTGTAGCATGGCACTCTAAACTAAGGTACACAAAGATGTTTGTTTAGAGGTGCAAAAAGATGAATAGTTAGAGAACTACCTGCCCTGTTACGAGCCAATTTTGTATCTCCAAGCATTTGGTTGATGATTGACACCCTTTGATCCTACCAACTATCACCTTAAATTGCACGTAAAATGCACCACACTACTCCACAGACAATTATAGTCTACCCATTCATTAATGATTAGTCTTTACACTTCTGAAATTTTAGCATTAGAAAGACTGAACAAATATGTAGTTGTGTATTACACGATGAACAAGAAATGATCTTGAACGATCCTTTTTTTTTTTTTTTTTTTTTTTTTTTTTAAATAAATCTTATAAAATGAAAGAAATAGTTTTTTCTTATGATCATTATCTATTAAGAAAAGTTTCTCCCTTCCACTCTTCATTTTGTAAAAACTATCAATTAGGTTACTCAAGTTTTACAAATTCAATATGCCAAAGTTTCAAACAAAATTTTCAAATTATAAGAACAGTATCTTCTTTATTACCTGCTTGAAAAAGGAAAGACGGAAGTAAAGATCTGAACAATCATCTTCCAAGCCATAGAAAGGTCACTTGTAGAGTGTTAGTAAATCTTAAGTACAAATATAAAGGTTTAATTCTAATCTAATGTGCTATAAGGGTCGTTGGATTTTGCACAGAGATTGCGTTATCCTTCTAATATTTAGTCATTAATTCCTATTTAAATGGTATGTGTATTTCCCCCCCTTTTGTGTTAACTTATGAATATTAAATTGATACGGCACTGCCAATACAATGTTGCCTAACTTTTGAATTTGATTATGAAAATTTACAATATCCTTGTATAAATATCCGCATTAAATTGAATCTCTTGTTTCTAACCCTAGCCACACTCACCTTCCTCATGTTTCTCTTTTGATCCCTTTTTCCCTTTCTTTCTCTGCCTCCGCCTCCACCGTTTTTTCCCTCTTGTGGCGCTCTCCGTTCCTTTTCTCTTTCCTTGTCGCCTCATGGTAAGTCTTTTTTTGAGTTTTTCCCTAGTAGTAGTATATCATTGGAGTCCTCGACAATTGCACTTCTCATTTCTAATAATTTTTATACCATCTCTTTCATTGTGCAACACAGAAGGCTAGTGCTTGATCCTTTGGTTTCTAAATCCTTGTGTTTTCTTTAATAAATGTTAGAAAAAAAAATCCTATTGTTACAATTTCATGTCCTTTGTAACATCTCTTTTTTTTTTTTTTTTTTTTTTGTGCAACAATACAGTAAAATCTGAGGCTCAACCATGCGACAACTGTGCGACATTTTGGTTCCTAAATCCTGGTAACCCTTTTACCCCATTTTACCTTTTAACTTCTCATCATGTATACTATTTGAATGTCAAATTAATTTTCCTTTGTTCGATTCTTTTCCTTAAAATTTTTTACAATTTTAAACTTGGCCTTTTGTATTTAATTAAGTTTGTTAAGAGTCCCACATTGATAAAATAAGAGAGAAGTCAGAGAACATATGGGTATATAAGGCCATGGGTTAGACTAGCTAATTGGTTGTATTCAATTTAGTGTGGTTTAGCCATGTGCATTATAGCCCAGTTGTGTGATCCTAGCTCAATCTTAGTTTATAACATGGTATTAGAGCATGCTCGGTCCACTTTGTAGCTGTTAGATTCAAAATGGCCCGGATAGTGGGGATAGTGTTAAGAGTCTCACATTGATAAAATAAGAGAGAACATATGGGGTTATAAGGCCCTGAGTTAGACCAGCTAATTGGTTGGATTCAAATTATAAGAACAGTAGCAAGTGGGGAGTGTCCCACATTGATAAAATAAGAGAGAACGTAACATATGGGGTTATAAGGCCATGGGTAGAACAGTAGCTTCTTTATTACCTGCTTGAAAAAGGAAAGACGGAAGTAAAGATCTGAACAATCATCTTCCAAGCCATAGAAAGGTCACTTGTAGAGTGTTAGTAAATCTAAAGTACAAATATAAAGGTTTAATTCTAATCTAATATGCTATAAGGGTCGTTGGATTTTGCACAGAGATTGCGCTATCCTTCTAATATTTAGTCATTAATTCCTATTTAAATGGTATGTGTATTTCCCTCCCTTATGTGAATTCTAGTAATTCTTTATAACATTAAGAATAAGTCATGGCTGTCATCCATTTGTTTGTAAGTTGACAAGGCTATCTTCACTTTTATTTTACACTAACTTCGATTTCCTCTGATTTAACTTATTCTCCATTTTAGTTAGTTAAATTCTCCTTTCTGCATCTTGTACTTGAATGCCCATTTTCTTCAATTTTTTTTTTATTTTTTTTTATTTTTTCATTTTCAAGTATATATAAGTTGGGCTTGGTCTAGTTGCTCTTCCATTGACTATTAGGTCATGGGTTTGGGCCCCCAAACTCCCTAAAAGTTGAGGTAAAGTTGTTTGCATCTTTATTAGCAAACTTTGCCTAATAGAAAGTTTTCTGGATTGGATTCAATTATTCAAATTTTCAAACATGTATAATTTATTTTTGAAGATTTCTATGAAATATGCATTGGTGGTTTAGAATTGATTCAAAATTTCAACATGTTTTTCATTGGGCCTGTAGTAGACTAGTAGTATGTCATAATATTAAATTCACATATTGAATTTTGTTGATTTCTTTTGCAATTTTATAATACTGACTTGAATTGAGGTGTTCGAATTTTAATATTCAAAGTTTCAAACACGAGGAGCAGAGCTTGACTATTATAGTAGACTTCTGTTAAAAACATTTATAGCCATTAGTGAAGTTCTTGGAAAGTTTCTGAGTCTGTATTTTCATGTTTATGACAGTAAGCCATGTGATTAATATGTACAAATAAGTAAATTGCTGGTTGGTGATTCTTCTATAAGATTTGAATAAAATCTTGATTGGATTTATAATTAGTGAAACAATTGTTTTTTCATAGTTGTATCTTTAATCATCATATGTAAAATATACGAGTGAGCTTACCTTGCCATCTTTTCAGACACTGTTTTCATATGTAATTATGCTTGAATCCTGTATATTTCTTGTTAGAAAATTGTTAAATTAAACATGAACTCATTTTGGAATTGATCTTTGTATCTTTTCTACAGGTCTGATATTTTAACTTTCTGATTTGGGATATATGGATTTGGACTAAATTTAATAGGCCAAAATCTCTCAAATTCAAGTATCCAACTAATGGCACATATGATGAAAGGTATGGATAGGGATTATTATTTTGAGGCCTAATTGTTACCCAAAAAACTATAGCTGTACTGTAATTTGTGTTAACTTGTGAATATTAAATCGATACGGCACTGCAAATACAATGTTGTCTAACTTTTGAATTTGATTATGAATTTACAATATCCTTGTATAAATATCCGCATTAAATTGAATCTCTTGTTTCTAACGCTAGCCGCACTCACCTTCCTCATGTTTCTCTTTTGATCCCTTTTCCCTTTCTTTCTCTGCCTCCACCTCCACCGTCTTTTCCCTCTTGTGGCGCTCTCCGTTCCTTTTCTCTTTCCTTGTCGCCTCATGGTAAGTCTTTTTTTTTTTTTTTGAGTTTTTCCCTAGTAGTAGTTTTCATGTCCTTTGCAACATCTCTTTTCTTCTTTTGCAACAACACAGTAACAGCTGAGGCTCAACCGTGCGACATTCGTGCGAAATTTTGGTTCCTAAATCCTGGTAACCCCAGTGTTATCAAGGCGTCGCCTAGGCGTCCGGTCGGTCGAGACCGAACGCCTAATGTGCTCGCCTTGCCTAAGTGCAGAATACAACCCAAAACTCCACAAAACATACATGGGCTGAACCTACACACTAAGGCGAGTTGACCGGTGTAATTTTCAGCCGGAGAAGTCGCCGGAATCTGCCTCACGCGCCGGCGCGTGGTGGCTCTGATGGCGGCGCTGTTAAAGCTCTGGCGTCGTCCTCCTGTTCTGAGCAAAGCCCACTACCTCACTCTGGCATGTTATCAATAAATACTAGACTTCTCACCACCCTAGGAAAAACTATTCATCTACTTCAAGTAAATATCTGCATTAAATTGAATCTCTTTTTTCTAACCCTAGCCACACTCACCTTCCTCATGTTTCTCTTTTGATCCCTTTTTCCGTTTCTTTCTCTGTCTCCGCTTCCACCGTCTTTTCCTTCTTGTGGCGCTCTCCGTTCCTTTTCTCTTTCCTTGTCGCCTCATGGTAAGTCTTTTTTTTTTTGAGTTTTTCCCTAGTAGTAGTTTTCATGTCCTTTGCAACATCTCTTTTCTTCTTTTGCAACAACACAGTAAAAGCTGAGGCTCAACCGTGTGACATTTGTGTGACATTTGTGCGACTTAGTAACTGGAATGAGTTTTAGTAAATGTAACCTCTTTGTTTTGCAGAATTGATATTGTTCAATATGTATTAAAGGGAAAGCTACTCGTATATGACTACCCAGATCTTTTTGCTGGATTTAATATCCTTACAGGTGTTGGAGATTATCCATTGAATCCTTCAAGAAAGTGCTCCGTTCCAAAGGAACTACTTTCTAGAGCAATTGGCTTGTTTGACCAATTGAAGGTACTTTCTCAAGTGAAACCAGATTGAATGATTTTACAATCTGAACACATATGCTTCAGTTGAGATTTCGTTTTTTTGAATGTCATTACAGAGCGTGCAGGATGGGCGATACGCCCTTCTAATGGTATATGAGGAATATCAGAAAGGGAGAATATGCCGGGAGGAGGTGCTGGGAGAGGTCATCTTTATTTGCCTAAGAATAACATATTTATCTAATTGCACTCGTTGGTCACCGTAGTCTTCATTCATCCTTTAACTTCTGCTTGAAGAAAAACGATCCGACTGTACCCTGGTTTAACCGTTTTCTCATAAGTTAACTAGCGAGGCATCATGTACAATCCTATTGCATCGTGTGCCTTCAGTTTCGTTTTGTCTTACTTGTCTGCTTTGGTATCACAGGCGAGGTATCTTTTCCTGTCACATTATGGGGTGGCAGAGCTGGCTGAGGGATTGTAAATGCAAAGCAGGAAAAGAGATATATTTGCAGAAATATATGGAAGGGGGGGATGTTGTTGTTGTTGTTGTTGTTGTTGTTTTTTTTTTTTTTTTTTTTTTTTTTTTGGTAATCTCTTTTTCCTGTGGCTTTGTTGATGAGAACTTTCTAGTTATTTGCCTAAGTTGAAAAGCATGTACCCTGTAACTCAAAATTACTCTTGAGGTTATTTGCCAATAGGCTTTTGGCATTTGAATTTGGAGCAGGGTTCATTGATCAGTCCGCATTAAAGTTCTGTACTCTATGCTATATTGATTATTGAAAAATTTTAGGGAAAATGGTTAAGCACACCTCCGAACTGAGATCAATTAGGGTTTTGAATTTTTAAAAGTTGTAATTAAGTATATCAATATGTCCTTTTAGTGCATCGAAGCCAAAAAATCAGTTAGTAATCGGTGATAGTAGGTTGTTAGGATTCCGACAATGCTTCGCCTACTTTTGGAGAAAAACCAGCTATCAATGGATGGTTGTTGATTTTTATTTTTTTTCCAGAGATAGTTGGAGTATAGTCGGAACCCTATCAAGTTGTTATCACCGGTCACCAACCGGATTTTTAAGTTCTGATATACTAAAATAACATGTTAATGTGCTTAATTATAACTTTTAAAAGTTCAGCGACCTAATTGACTTCTTGTATTAAGTTTGAGGGTGTATTTGACTCTTTTTTTAAAAATTTATAACGCGCACAAATTACAGTGAAGTCGGTGACTACTATTATAAATAAAAATGATATTGGCTCTGTTTAGCAAACCTAGCTGAAAAGCTATAAGCTAGGAGCTGATAGCTGAAAAGGAGCTGAAAGCTGAAAAGCTATAAGCTCAGAGCTGAAAATTGAAGAGCTGTTAAGCTAGCTGTTATGATTGAAAGTGTTTGGTAAAATTAGCTTTTTGATAAGCTGATAAATGTAAAAAGACTAAAAAGGACATCTTCATAAACTTTAAATTAGTTTGTTTACATATTAAAATTTAACATTTCGTCTTCCAAAAAAAGTAAACACTTTTTAAAATAAAACTATTAGCATGATCATGATCTAGCATCCCATAATGAAGTAGCAATATTGTTGCGAATCTCCTTCATCTCCATAGAGGTGTGACTTAAATTTTCGTTGATGGAGATATTACTACTTGAATTTGAGATATTAGAGGTGTGACTTAAATTTTCGTTGGCGACTCTTGTTCAATTTGAGAATGAAGCCATATTGCTAATTTAATAATAATAATAATAATAATAATAATAATAATAATAATAATAATAAGCTAAAGTTTCAACATAATTGTTTAGCAGGAAACATGACTAAGGAAGGATTGACGTGAAAGTTGAGATAGGGGAAGAGAAAGGGTTTTAATTCATAAGGTTAAAATATGTCATTACTTTAAAATAATAAGGGTAAAGATGGAAAAAAAGTTAGGAAGCTAGGAGCTTATTTTGAAACGCTACCTAAAGTAGCGTTCCAAAATAAGCTCTTATTTTAAGCTAGGAGCTTATTTTGGGAACATTACCAAACAGAGCTTATAGCTTATTAGTAGCTTAAAATAAGCTATAAGCTCCTAGCTTAGCGTTGCCAAACAGAGCCATTGTGCTTGTTACTTTAAATAAAAAGAATACTGAGCTTATTACTATAAATTTTGTCCCTCAATTGTTCCTTACTAGTTGTTTTAGTCTTTAATTTTTTACCGTTGCAATACATTCCTCTAACTCTTCTAAAAAATTGTGTTTTAACTCTTAAAAGAACAAAATTATTTAATTATATTAAAATTTTACTTAGTAAATATGTATTTTAAAAGTCTATTATCTTTATTCCTTATAATTTATTTTTATTCGGTTTTGATATTTTATATGCAAAATAAAAAATTGACAACATTCCTCTCTAAAATTTTCTTCTTTAATTACGGTACATCGTTCCTATTTATCGAGACTAAAGAATATTATAGTCAAAGAAGAACATTAAAAAGTACTAAAATATTTATATATTAAGTAAAATTTTACTACGTAATATAGTTTAATTGTTGTATTGATTCAGGGGTTAAACATGTAACATTTTTAAGAGTTAAAATGTATATCGCAACAAAAAAACACAAAGTAGGGGTATGAGAGACTCTTGAGATTGAGGATTTAACCTTTTTGAAAAAAAAAAACACAGAGTAATTAAAGGACTAAAAATACATTTATTCTTTACTATAAATATAAAAGGGTTATGGTACTTTTGTAAATAATATTTTAGCACTGCTTTTTATTTATAGTACTCTGTAATAAACTAATAATGATGGTGTTTTCAAAATCAATATAATAGTACAAGTATTTGGTTGGTGACCTGCATATTTAAAATGAAGCTTCTGTGAATAGTTTCTGTTTGAACTTGAAATGTTTTTCTTATCTACTCTAAAAGGAATTTTTATGGTATTCTTTTTTATTGATAATACTTTTAATTAAAACAAAGAAGAATAATTTGATACTCCGTATAAAAGAGACTAATTAGTGCCCATTCAGTGATTTACATACATAATGTTTTTCACAGATAGAACCCAGCCCGTCCAAGAGGGCGGGAGGGGGTAAATTGCGGCATCGAACCTCCACCTTACCGCTATAGCAAGATTTTTAGGGTGACTTTTGAACTATTGAGTTAAGCCTCGCAGGGTAGCCAATCATTTACATCTTTCATTATTTAAGATATAAAATAAAATAACATGGTATCATAGTAATAATAATCATTTATTTTGAGTATTTTTTTAAAGCTAAGGATTTTAATCATACTTCAACTTATTATATATTTTATTCCAGATCTTCATTGTGATGCAATAGGGTTTTACCAATGTTCAATTGTTCAGTACTGACATATTGACTTGAACACTAGCAGCAGCAATGTTAGATTGTTAGGTGCAATAGATCAGATAAAAGATGTTTGGTTTTCAAAAAAAGAAGAAGAAGATAAAAGATGTTTGAGGATATTCTATATTTGATAAGCAATTTTATTATTTTTTATTTTATTTATTTTTTGTGATGAGGAAAACTCATCACACTACCCAAGTGAGCTTAAACACAATACAACAACGACAACAGTTAAATAAAATCGTTGTCTTTTTAAAATTAAAAAAGAAACCGTACAAAGACAACAGTTTTATAAAACAGTTGTCTTTGAAATGTTCTGTATTCAAGTGTGCTTAAAGACAACACACCAACAACAACGGTTAAATAAAACCGTTTTTTTTTTTTTTTTTTTTTTTTTGTTTAAATAAAGAAACACACAAAGACAACAGTTTTACTTTGAAATGTTGTGTATTCAAGTGCGCTTAAAGACAACATGCCAATGACAACAGTTAGATAACATTTTTTTTTTTAAAGAAAAAGAGCGCACAAAGACAACAGTTAAAAAAACCGTTGTCTTTGTAATGTTGTGTATTCAAGTGCGCTTAAAGACAACACACCAATGACAACGGTTAAATAAAACCGTTGTCTTTTATAAAAAATGCACATAGACAACGGTTTTAAAAACCTGTTGTCTTTGACAAAAGTGTTGCGTCAATGACAACGATTTTGAACAAAACTGTTGTCTTTTTCCAAACGACAGCACTCTTTGTGCATTTTTCTTGTAGTGATTGAATAAATCATGCATTGTGACTCTAACCGGCAAATGACTACAATGAGGTATAGTTGACCGACAACTAAGAAGGTTGCAATTAAGCTGCTCCGGTTAGGAGTCAACAATTACTTAGGTGATCTTAATTTTGCCTGACTAATCCTAAACCCAAGTCATTGCATAGATAAATCGCGAGTCCTACAATCAGCGGCTACAATTTTATGTATTTATGATCCGTTTGGAAAGCAGGAAAATGACTTCTGGAAAATATTTTTCGAGTTTTCAGTGTTTGGATGCAACAGGAAAATCTAGTCAACGGAAAATGAAAATGAAGCCATTTTGACATGTTTAATTATATAATTTTACTCATTTTCCAGAAAATAAACCAAACACACCAAGTTTTTAGTGCAACTAAAAATTGGAAATGAAATTTTTTTAATGAAAAATATTCATTTTCAAAAAATATTTTTCAAAATTTATTTTCCTGCTTTCCAAATGGAACTTTAAATTAGAAGGTTAGAGTTCAGCGACTGCAAAATCTGAGGATAAAAACCCCCATTTCTGCACTACATACATACATCATTCATGCATGCAAGTTAAGTATAGTCAAAGCTTGTAGCTGGCCAAACAATGGATGGATATGATATTACACTTCTCTCTGATCTTCACCTGTATTTATTATCCAATAGCGCAAACAATCTGGTTTGTTCAACCTCCTTTCATCAAACTCATGAAACTCCACCTATCTCTCATCTGATCTCACCATCACTTTAAGCCTCTTTCTTTTTCTTCTTCACTCGATCTTTTCACCCATAATTCTGATGATAATAATGAGCTCTGAAAACCAGATTATGGCTTCGCAGCCTTTCCACAGTACCCCTGAGGAGGACCCCATCGTCATCTTCTCCACTTCCAACTCCAGCTCCCCCGCCAAAGACTACTCCACCGCCAGCCAATCCTCCTCCTTCGTCTCTTCCCCGCCGCGGCCACCGCCGCCGCCATCCGCCGCTCCGGCCCACGAGCTGCGAGTCAGGAACCTCTCCCACAGCATAGACCCCAACAAATCCCTCATTATCCCCTCCTCCCTCTCCCGCCATTTCAAGAAACAGAAACCCATCGTCAAGATTCTGAAATCCGTGTCGTTCGTGGCGCGGAGCTCGGAGGTTCTGGCCGTGACGGGGCCGAGCGGGACCGGGAAATCGACGCTCCTCCGCATCATCTCTGGCAGGGTGAAGGACAAAGACTTGGACCCAAAGACTATATTCATCAACGACAGCCCAGTAACCAGGCCGGCTCAGCTGAGAAACATATGTGGGTTTGTTGCCCAGGAAGATGATCTTCTCCCCCTCTTAACCGTGAGGGAAACCCTCATGTTCAGTTCAAAATTTCAGCTAAAAAACTCGACCCCGAAGGAGAGGGAAGAGCGAGTCGAGAGGCTAATGCAGGAGCTGGGGCTTGTTCATGTGGGGAATAACTTCGTTGGGGATGAAGATCATAGAGGAATCTCAGGTGGGGAGAGAAAGAGAGTCTCAATTGGCATAGAATTGATCCATGACCCTTCAATTCTCCTCCTAGATGAGCCCACTTCTGGGCTAGACAGCTCCTCAGCTCTCCAGGTCCTTGAGATTCTCTCATCTATGGCCACAACTAAACACAGAACCATAATCCTATCCATTCACCAGCCCAGCTATAGAATCCTCCATTACATCTCCAATATCCTCATTCTCTCCCATGGCTCTGTTGTCCACTCCGGCTCTCTTGAGCTTCTTGAGGAAACCATAAACCAATTGGGGTTTCAAATCCCGTCCCAGCTAAACGCCCTCGAGTTTTCCATGGAGGTTATTTCTGATTTGGAAGCTCATTCGAACAACTCTGCAGCCTATCTGAGGTGGGAAGAAGCCATTCATAGTGACCGGGACAAAGAGATTATTGGTGACAACTATAAACAACATGGAAACGAGTCGTGTTGGTTTACGAGTTTGTTTGAAATAGCAGTGCTTTGTTCAAGGTTTTGGAAGATTATTTACAGAACAAAGCAGCTTTTATTGGCAAGAACAATGCAGGCTATTGTGGGGGGGTTAGGGTTAGGAAGTGTGTATATTAAGATGAAGAATGATGAAAATGGGGTTGCAGAGAGATTAGGGCTTTTTGCATTTAGCCTTAGTTTCCTCCTCTCCTCCACAGTTGAAGCTCTCCCAATTTACCTCCAAGAACGGCGAGTCATAATGAAAGAAGCCTCAAGATCATCCTACAAGATCTCATCTTACATGGTGGCCAACACCCTCATCTTCCTCCCCTTCCTCTTCGCGGTGGCCATCCTTTTCGCCATCCCGGTTTACTGGATGGTGGGCCTCAACCCCTCCCTCCCGGCCTTCGCCTTCTTCACCCTTGTGGTGTGGCTCATCGTGCTCATGGCTAGCTCGTTAGTCCTCTTCCTCAGCGCCATCTCCCCGGACTTCATCTCGGGGAACTCCCTCATCTGCACTGTTCTTGGGGCCTTCTTCCTCTTCTCTGGCTACTTCATACCCAAAGAATGCATCCCAAAGTACTGGATTTTCATGTACTATGTTTCCCTCTATAGGTACCCTTTGGATGCTTTGCTCACAAATGAGTATTGGAGCTTGAGGGACAAGTGTTTTTCTTGGAGTGGGGAGGATAAGTCTAAGTGTTTGCTTACTGGGAATGATGTGTTGAAGAGCAAGGGGCTTGATAAGGATAGTAGGTGGGAAAATGTTGGGATCATGCTTGCATTTTTTGTGTTTTATAGGATCATATGTTGGATTATCCTTGCTAGAAAGGCATCAAAAACAACAATATAATATAGCAATTGCTTGTGTTAGATCTTGTGAGGAGGGTATGTATGTAGTGGAATTCATTATACCTTTGTATGTATTCTTCCTATATCATTTTCACTTGTAGATAAAAAGAGTTAATTCAAATATTTTGTTATTTTTAAGGACCAGCACCAAGTAACACTAGAAAATATGCATATTCTTTTCAAAAGGTTGAATCTCCAAGTCCCAAGGCCCACACTCCGATCCGACAGAGTGAAAAAATATGTATATTCATTAATTAGAGCATCCTCAATAGTCTTTAATTTTTGTGGGTTTTGAGGTGCCAACGGTCAAAATATTTTGTTAATTTTGAGAGCAGTCACGACTAACACTAGAAAATAGGCATATTCTTCCCGAAATGTTGAATCCCCAATCCCAAGGGTCCCCAACACCTTGGCCCGATAGAGCATCTGGGAGAAAATATGCATATTCATTTAGTTAGAGCATCCTCAATAGTCTTTAATTTTTGTGGGTTTTGAGGTGCCAATGCAATTAGGTATGCCTTGAATTTTACCTAATGGCAGAGGTAAATGATAGTACTGCTAGTTCTGAGCGGAGCGGACTGTTTCCGAGGTCCCTGCTTTGTCATTGATATTCTTTTTATTATTATTTTTTGTATTTCTCTTTTGTTTGTTATTTTTTGCTTTTCTTGCTATTGATTTGTTGTTCCCTTTTATGGCTATTGATGACTATAGATTTTTGTCTTCTATCAATTATTTCGAGTTTGACTACTTGTAGGTAATTCAATTGCCTTGGCACAAGCCTCGGCCAGCTTTGGCACGAGCCTCAACATGAGTTATGACCTTGACATGAGCCACGACGACCTTAGCATAGTGCCTGCCATTGATTCGTGGCTTAAGTTTCCTGTGATCTTGTTCACGATTCCAACCATATAGATGCTGTTTTGGAGGATTTTCTTATTTGTTTCGACTTAGAATTTTCAATGTGTCATGTTTACAACTGCTTGTGACGCAAGAGGCAAATGAGCAGGTGAAAGGTTAATTGTAAGATGTCTTTTATTGGTTAATGGAGTTAAAAGTGATAGTGGACTAAAAAGAAAGAAGTCATGCCACCAAATAAATTAAACCAAGTCATATAGGTAAAGGAAAAAGAAAACCATAGGCAAACATATTGGGGAAGAAACAATTGGGAAATAAGTACTGAACTAATCATTTTACACATTTAAGTCTAATTTCATTGCTATTACTTTGGTAATGTTTGTGGTTTTTAAATGTTGCAATTTAGATGGTGATATACATTGCTAATATGTGCTTTCATTAACAACGATTGATATACATTGCTAATATGTGCTTTCATTAACAACGATTTGCATAAAGAGTTTACAATTAGGGGTGAGCAAAAAATGAAGACCGACCGAAAAACCGATGACCGATAACCGAACCGACTGAAAATTTCGGTTTTCGGTCGGTTATCGGTTATTACCTTAAAAAAATTTCGGTCATTTCGATTTTTTGGTCGGTTATCGGTTATGGACCAAAAACAAATTAACCGATCGAAAAACCGAAGAAGAAGCCCACACATTTTGACTTAGCCCATTACTTTTATGTCATCTACTAGCCCAAAACTAATTTACGCTATAAATTTAAAGTATAAAATATAAAATTACAAAACATATGAGTATGCCGCATGCATGTAGCTAAACATATTATATTTGTTTCCAAAAAAAAACATATTATATTTTGTTTAAAACATATATAACATATTATATTCTGTTTAATTACTACAAAACATATATGTATGCACTATGCAAATTTAATTTGTTAATTATATTCTGTTTAAAATTTACAGTTTATCTTTTATTTTGTACTTTAAATTTTAAGATTATGTTTGGACTTTGGAGTGTGGACATTGCAACTTTGGGTATATGATTTTGAAATTCTTATATGATCGACTATTTTAACTAGTAATGTGTTTTTAGTGTTTAAAATTTTGAGTTTAGACTAAATTTTTAAAGAAATTTCAGCATGTTAGGTAATTAAGTTCGGTTAAAAATAACCGACCGAAACCGACCGAAATTTTCGGTTTTCGATCGGTTCGGTTATGAAATGTCCGTCGGTTATTTCGATCGGTTATGCGAAGGTCATGAATTTTTCGATTATTTCGGTTATTAACCGAAAATCGACCGAAACCGACTGATGCTCACCCCTATTTACAATAACCACTACTATCTAGCAGCCAATACAGGAACCTTGTTTATCCTAGGTACATCAACATAGGAACCTTGTTGAATGCATAGCTAAAACCAATACAACTATATCCTAATACCATTCCCCTATCCAGTATTGCTACTTTGGCCATCAACCTTAGCACAAGCTTTTAGCATCATTTTCAGCCTTGCAATCTCTTCTTCAATTCATTTCGATTGACCCTACTCAATAGCCCAAAAATAATTGTCCTCGACCTTGCGCACATATGAGGATTATACCATCTAGCAAAACCACAAAGTTCTTCCCCAGTCCTCACATACAATTCCAAAATTGAATCAAAATTTCTAAAAAAAAAAAAACTTTCTTTATTTTTGTTTACTAAAAACAATAACACAAAATAAAATAAAAAAACTCACATTTTAGTTTGCACACTTCCAATAACTTCCACTCGAATTATCATTCGTCCAAGATGCTTGTAGAGTCAATTGCTAGTCACATTAACAATTTAGAATAGTAATCAACTCACTATATGTGTATTCTCGCCTCCTTGAAGATGGAGGAAAGAACAAATATTTTGCCTTGTTGGATAACAATTCTTAGAGGTTAAGAGAGAATAGCAAATATGAATTTTAGCGTTCATTTAGGTTTTATCAGCATATATACTCGTCTTTGTGAGGAAGAAGGCACGCATACTATGAAAAGATAACAATACCCTTAAATGCAAGAAACTTAATTGATTCCTACTCAATTTAAGCCATATTAGTTGTCTGTATTAGGACCTGTGTCAGGCACAAACACAAACAGAGAATATAAAAACAAATAAAATGCAGAAAAATAAAGGAAACATGGACACACAATATGATTACATATATAGTTCAGAGCAACTTCTTCCTACGTCTGCGGCGTCACTCAAAAGTGAAACCCAACTCCACTAGATGCACACAAAAGATTACACTCAACTGTATTTATTTTACATACAACTATGACCTAATCAATCACACCACACTCAAGCTTCCACATCTCCTGAGTTGGTAAGAATCTTGGAATCAACGTTCCAGCAAGTCTTCACTTTTCTAACCCACGGAGAGACTCCACGAATCAAAGAGTATCAGCCTGGTTCCTTTATTTTTCTACATTTTATTTGTTTTTATATTTTTTGTTCGTGTCTGTACACAAATCTTAATATAGATAATTATAATCTGGCTAAAATTGAATAGGAACCAATTAAGTTTCTTGCATTAAAGACTCACGATTTTAAATGTTATAACCGTAATCATTAAAATAATAGATAATTAATATTTATGTATATTTAGGAACAAATATTTACAAATGTAGCCGATTTTTGGAAAAATGGTCAAATAAGCCCTCGAACTTTAGTTGAAAAATCAATTAGCCCCCTAAACTTTTTAAAGGTGCAAAATTACATCCATCAACAATTCATTTTGATGCAATGAAGTCCAAAAATAGGTAAGTGACATGCTATCACATGTCATTAGGAATCCGGCCACCCTCCGACAAAAATTTCAGGCAAAAAAAGTGACCAGTGACCGACTGTCGCCTTCTCCGGCGAGAAGGCGACCCAAACCAAGGTCGCCTTCTCGCCGGAGAAGGCAACCTTGGTTTTTCTCCATGACCACCGGTCGCGGGTCACCTTTTTTGCCTGAAGTTTTTGTTGGAGGGTGGTCGGATTCCTAATGACCTGTGATAGCATGTCATTTACCTATTTTTGAACTTCATTGCATCAAAATGAATTGTTGATGGGTGTAATTGCACCTTTAAAAGGTTGATGAGACTAATTGACTTTTCAGCTAAAATTCGAGGGCCTATTTGACAATTTTTTTGAATTTTTTATATTTATACATTTCTTCTATGTATCATTTTAACAATATTTTTTAAAATAGTTATTTTTCATTTTCTATTTCACAGTTTCTTGAGTAATACTGTACATAATACTCCCAATTTCTATGAGCATTGCCCCTAGAATCATTGTACTACACTGTCGCATTTAGTTATGACATCTAGCGATAAAAGAACCGCTATACTAAGCCCCACACTAATCAAGCTAGATAAAGAACGACTATTCTTATATCAATATAATTACGACACTTGATAAAAGTTTTACTAATTATTAATAGGAAGGTCATATATTATTTTCTATCTTCCGTTTCCAAATTTCCATGCTGTCATGGAAAAAATATCAGCAGGTGGGCCAGGTGTAAATATATGGTAAAACGAAGGGCAAAATCGCAATATATACTCACCTAGTTAAAGGCTTCGTTTTTGAGCCAGTTCCGTTATCCCCCACCTCTCTCTCTAAATCGGGCATTGTTTTTATCTCGCAATATTTTGAGTTCTAAATCCGATCAAATTAGGGTTTTTCCATCGATTCACCGAGTCGACTCAGTTGTGGCAGCCATGTTTTCCGATTCAATCGCCAATGCTTTGGTCCCCATTGCTTCTGCTAGCCCCAACGATTTTTCCAAGAAAAAGAGGGTAGTTTATATTTCTTTGTCTACGCTGATAGTTATTTAGTGCGTATTTTTGGTCTATTTACATTTCCAATGTGATTAAGTCAATTCTTGTTTTTTTTTTTTTTTTTTTTTTTTTTTTTTTTTTTTTTTGTAAACCGTACATTTTTCTTTTTGAAAAATTTCAGAGTAATCGTTTGGCAAAATTGAAGCAGAGCAAGCTTGATGCTCGTCGCGAGCAGTGGCTATCTCAAGGTTTGTCAAGAATCTTTCTTCTTCATTTGAATGTATACAAGTTTCTATTATATTTTCAGGCATTAAGAAATTAGTTATTGTGTTATATAGTTTCAATTATTGTTAATTCATTGGTTTTGTATCTGTTTGGTGTTTATTTTTATTTTAATTGAGTTCCTTTTCCTTTCTTTTTGTGATCGGGTCTTTCTATAGTGAAGAACAAAGGTCCTAAAGAGGAGCTGAATGGTGGTGGGGAGACTCATGGTAGTAGGGTGGAAGTTGTGAATGAGAGGGTCCAATCAATCGGGAAGTTAGAGTTAAAGACTAGGGTGGGGGAATATAATGATGGATTGGTGCGCGATTGCAGCGACTTGGATTCACCTGCTAACAGCCCCACTAGCTATACCAGTAGCATCATGGGAGGAAATGATTCCGGGACTAACTTCACTGGAAGCAGCAGCCGGAGTAGCAGCAGCAGCAGTGGTGGCGGAGGGTGTTGTTCAGGGAGCATGAGTGAAGATGAGGAAGGGGATGATGGGTGCTTGGATGATTGGGAGGCTGTTGCTGATGCTTTGGCTGCCACAGATGAGAAGCAGGAGCAGCATAACCCTAGTCTGGATTCAACAGCACCGGAAAATTATAATGTTGTGCAATCAATATCTCAGACAGAGTTCTCGGGCCAGCTAGTTTCGAATGTTGAAAAGAGTGGTGGATTGACACCCAGACATCATGTGAATTACCAAGCATGGAGGGCTGATGATGCATTTCGCCCTCACAATCTTCCCAGTTTGCCCAAACAGTATAGCTTCCCATTGAATTCAGATCGGCATATTTCTGGAGGGTCAGTATGGCTTCAAAAGAATTTATCAGTACCCACTTCTTGTCCAATATGCATTGAAGATTTGGATTTGACAGATACAAGTTTTATCCCTTGTTCATGCGGGTTTAAACTCTGCCTCTTCTGTCACAAGAGGATTCTTGAGGAGGATGGGCGCTGTCCTGGTTGCAGGAAACAGTATGACCGTAACCCTATCGAGGGAGAGGCAGTTGTGGATGGAGGCAGCCTTAAATCTCAATTGGCTCGTTCTTTTAGCATGATATAGAAGTCCTAAAGAAGAGTCTTCTCCGTGAATATGTATGTTGGATATCTTTTTCTCTGTAGCTGAGTCGTTCTTACTTGTTTTAGACTCTTGACACTTTCATACTAGTATTAAATGTTGATATAGGAACACGATTCTGAAAGCTTAGAGGGAATTATTCTTGTTGGTTCATATTTGGGGTGCCTGTGCAGATATAGTAAACTCTTATGTGAATTAGAGGTAAGGAGGTATAGAAATTGAGTACATTGAATTTGATTACAAGGAAATTGCCCTTGTTGCCCTTGGCACTTTGTTGCCTGACTATCAAATTTTGAATCAATTATTAAGGTGGTTGATTGTTTTGTATTTTATAATTTCTCTTGGATCTAATTTCATAGATAATGGATGTTAAAATTGTTTTAACTATAGTCTATGTTTTGCCCGTGTACATATATACTTCCCTTTCACCTTAAAATGAAATATATAAAAGAAGATGACACTGCATTAACAATTATTGTGTTTTTTGCTTGCTTTTGGGCATGAAGTACATTGTGTGGCTTCAATGAAGTACCAAGAAAAAAAAGAATCTTATATATAGAAAAGTGAACAGATTTGTGGGGGACATACAAGAAACACACCTAGTCAACTTATTGTGCAACCATCATCTTTATAATATTGCTTGATTTCTTTTATGTCTATAAATTGGCAACCACCACCCTAAAACAACACTGATGATTTGTAACACTAAACTAGTGACCTTAATATTTTTTTTTCTTGTTTTGATTTTTTTTAAAAAAAAAAAATTCTGAGTAGACCATAGAAATTCATCTTTGTGGCTGTATGGCCAAAATTTGAACACTTCTAGTGTAAAATATCATTATTTTTTCGGCTTGCATGCACAGAAAGGGCTTTACATTGCTACTGTATTTGATTCCCTAACCGTTATTCCTACTTGTTTATCTCTCATTTCTAGATTCGCTTCCATTCTCCCTTTCCTTAATATTCATGATGATCTGTATCTTAAAAGGAATTCTTCAGTTTTATGTAGTCAGATTTGCTTGATCGGCTGTTTTATTTATTTATTTATTTTTTAATAACATAGTAAGAGTTTCATTCAATGGCAATTATGTCTTGACACCATTCCCTTGCATAGGGATGCCAATTTTAATCCCACTTGTGGGTATTCTATTGCATTTGAATATTTGATCCACACAGGCAGTGGCTTGGTATCAGAAGAATGTCTTCTCCTTATGGCATAACTGCCTTTTATATGAATCCTATATCAACCCTGACTCCCCAAGTTTAACTATGCCTGCCCTTTAATTTAAACTGGACAAGGACTACCCAGCGATTTGTGTTCAACTGCTCCTTTGTGTGCCACACCCAATAGAACTGTTTTTTTTTTTTTTTTTTTTTTTTTTTTTGGGGGGGGTGTACCCAGGGTTTCACCGTCGGACACAGTGACTAATTTTCTTGCTGAATTGTAGGCACCTCTATTGGGTGGGACAGCTGAGAATTCAGCTCATACATAGATTCAGTAATTGTTAGTACTAAGGTGGAAGGTTTATGATAAAAGTAAAGTTTTAGCTTAGGTCAGAAAACTTGGATCCATGTCACAGATGATATTAAATGAGAGGGTTGAACCAACAGGTGATGCCTTAGTCCTTAGATAAGGAGCTTGAGCTTTCTTTGCTCAATGCACACTTCAGCCAAAGAATAGTGTTCAAAATTTTGCATGGGGTGATGTTCAAAATTTGAATTTATTATATCAACTTACAATGATTGGAAGTCAGAACTACACAGACTTTCTATTTCCACTATCTTAATCAAATTCTACATGAGCATGATTGTTCATCTGAAGTCATCATCTGATTCACAGGATAATGTTCCTTGATTTTTTGGTGTGAAAAATGCATCCAAGTTTTTGAACATCATGGGGGTTCCCAGTCTAGGAGACAATGGTGGGGAAGATTCAGCGCCCGCCACCTTCTTCCTCTGCAATTTCTTAGTGATATCAACACAAACAGTATCAACCGTTTCCAGAAAGTCCTTCACAATAATAAACAGTTGAAGTGGCGATTGCATTTCTTTATCCTTTGAAGATCCTGCTTGGTAATATTCTGTTGTTCTCTTCACCAGCTCCATTACTCTTCTTTGTTCTTCTCTCACAACTTTAAGCTCCTCGTTGCTTTCCTCCACAAACTGTTTCATCACCTGCATGAATTCTGTTCTTTCGCCATCTCTGCAGTGTGTCAGAAGCTCGCAGATGTCATTGACCCGGACTTCTATGGTGGAAAATGTAGTCATGAAAGTATTGTAGTCAATGGCTGCAGCTTTCTTTACATTCAAGAATTCAGTGCTCAGACTTTTCAATGCTGGCAGTCCTAGTGCCAGGTACTCCCAGTCTCTACTTGAGTTCTGTTCATCTGTGTTGTTGCCCGTTTGGTCATGTCCACTAACCGTAATTTTCTGATTGGTACAGCAACGCTCACCCTCTGATCGAATCACTTGCTCAATAACAAAGTGAAGTAGAGTTATCTTCCCATCATTGCTCTTCACATAGGAAAGTTTCCTGAGGGAGTTAAGGTTGAACCCTTGAGCATTTCCTCTAGCAGTCCCTGCATTCATTCGGTTACCAGCCTTGAGAATGGCTTCCAGAAGCTTCAAGAAAATTCCACGGCTTTTTAATTCTTTACAGGCCAGTTCAAGCGTTTGCAAAGTCTCCTTGAGGCCAAGAATCTCTGGATCGTAGTTGGACCTGAACAGCATGGCATTGAAGCGGGTAAAAGCAGAGGGGACTGCTTTCAAGATGTGGTAGAGAAAAGACTCGGCATCAGCAAGCTTGGATGGGTCGCCATGGAATTGGAGTATTTTCACTGTTTCTTCTTCTGTCGGGCAAATCTTGGTGAGTTTCTCAAGGGTATCAGCACAGAGTCCTTTTCCTTCATGTAGGGCATCAAGGATTTCTTCGCGTGAGATTGCAAGAGACTTGATTACAATTGCTGTATTTTGTGATTTCCGAGGATCAAGAATGAAGATTTTAGAAGGTGGAGGCTTTGCACCACCTGAGCTTGTTCCTTGAGGGGATTTCTGAGAATCAGTGCCATTGTACCCAAAGAGAGCTTCCATAAGTTTATCATCAAATCTGATATATAGGCATAGAAGTTAAGAAATAATATACTAAAACAACTGTTTGTTTTCCACGCGAATGATCAAAAAGGATTGATAAATCTTTATTGAAATAAGCACATACCGGAAAGATCCACTGTTAATGTCATTCCATACCAATGAATGATCAGCATTAGTAATAACCTTATCCCAATGCAGTGGCTTCAGTTTGATCTGGATTTCACAGTTTTGTGTTGCGTTTCCTTCTGTTGAAGCTTGTTCTTTACCATGGTTGCTTCCTTTTTCTCCAGGTGGCTTCAAGGACAGGGGCAGAGGAGGTGGAGCGGAAGGCTTTGTTCTCCCTGGCATTGCTGGAGGTTTGGCAATTCTTTTTGGCGGAGAAAGAGGTGGCGTTGGGGGTGGAGGTGGTGGCGGAGGTGGTGGTGGTGGTGGTGGCGGTGGCTGGGGAAGAACATTCTTGACACGCGAAGGTGACTCCTCTAAAGCCTTTTCTTCTTTTGCAAAGTCCAAATTGGTTTGATGTTGAAGTAATGGGGCTTCTTGAATGTGCTTAGGAACACTTGTTGGCTTCTCTCCTCTACCATCTACCCTCTTCTCCTCTTCTTCTTCTTCTTCCATGGGATTCACCCATATCTTTGAAAAACAGCTCGTAACCTGTCCATTATCGAACCGTCTCAAGTAAATAAAATCCAACCCATTATCATCCACAATAACCCCTTTCACACCAACTCCCCTGAACTCTTGGAGAGTCACCGAACCAGAATTTTCTCGACGAAAACTTGACCCCAACATATTCTTTCTGCGGTGCCGAGCCATCATGAATCTATAGAAAAACCAGAAACATATTCCCGCCAGAATCACAGTACCTGTAGCAGCAGATGCAACGGCCACAACAACTGCTCTGTTTGCTTTCATTTTCACCTCCTAAATCTTACAACTACCTGTTAATTAAAACTCAGAAAATTTTGTTGTTTAGCTGTGATTGATAGGGAGAAACCTTGAGTGAACCAACCTATGGGGATTTAAGAATTTGAAGGGCAAGTAGTTGATGTTAGTTGGAAGTTTTAAAATGTTGGGGCTCCTGCTTTTATTAGAGGAAATCACATCACTTTTTATTGGTTGGTTTCTTGTAATTATTGTGAATTAAAGAAACCATGCTGCTCTGTTTTCCTGTTGTTTAGATACAATCAATACTCCATAGGCTGCTATTATAGCATTCATAATTTACAATGTTATTGCACACTTATGCAGTAGTGACCACTATTAGCTGTTTGATTAATTACCTTTTTATTACAGCTTAGTGCTCTAAAACACCAAAATTCAAAAAGCTGCTCATAACAATTTTTTCGATTAGGTTTTTGAAAAAAGTCATTATATATGTAATCAGTTAACAGTTAATTTACCAAACATCTTTTTATAATCAGCTAATGCTATCAGCTAACAGTTATTTACCAAATCAGTTATTTATCAACTAGTTAAATTCACTAACCCAATCAGTTAACAGCTATCAGCTAACAGTTATTTACCAAACACTCCAATGTTATTGCACACTTATGCACTAGAGACTTTTTTTTTTTTTTTTTTTTTTTTTTTTTTTTTTTTTTTTTTGTAAATAGCCAAGTGTTAGTTAATAAAAGTTGTTCATATCGCATAAAATAATAGTTGAATGTAATTGCAGGCAGCCGGCTAGTAGTCCTGTCTTGTATTTATTGCTATCAACGACATATGTCCAACTGTGTTATAACAACATGCTATAATATTGCAATGACAGTATTGTTTTAATGTTCTCTGTCATAATAAATTTACTTTATTATAACATTTCTACAAAGCCTTTGACATTTCAGCAAAATTTATGATGGAAAAAAAATAATAATACGATCATATATCAGTTTCACAAGAGATTGTGTGAAGTAGTCTTTAAATTAGATTAAATTTTTACTATTGACATAGTTTTTATGGTGGAGTTAGAGTTTTTACTTGAATGTCATATTATTGGTGCTCTTTTTGAGAGGTCAATACGTGATAGGAAATGGCTACCAGGAAGAGGGTTTTCTGATATTTGATAATGTTCAAAAGGAATTGAGAGCAATTTAAAGTAAGAGCTATACTTGGTGTTTGATAAGATTCAAAAGGAATTGATAACGGTCTAAAGTGAAAACTATCTCAAGTTAAAGGGAATTGAGAACGGTCTAAATTGACAATTGTTCATAGTGAGAGCCGTTAGCTTGTTTGGTACTAGCCTAGCTAGTGGAGGAGGTAACCCAAAATTTAATTGAATATTGTATATTTTTTTAGTGACACAATCTTTTAATCTTTTAATAAATGTATAACAAAAATGACAAAATACATTTAAAAAAAGAAGAAGAAAACATTAATTAAAATTCAAAAATAATATTTAAAAAACTTTAACGCACTCCCCAAAAACTATGAGATAGGAACTTTTAATTTTAATAAATATATGAAAATATGACCAATAAATACATTTCCAAAAAAAAATAATAATAATAAACTTTAAAAGCTTATATTCAAAAAATTCTGAAGCATTCCTTAAACAAAACTCTAGTTATTACTAAAAACTTTTAGGCAAGTTTGTATGTGAGACGGTCTTTCCGATCTTTATACCATGGACCAAGGTTCACAGTGTATTATGAACTCTGGTGCATGTATATGTCTTATGTTGTGAGTTTTTGTGTCTTGTATTATGAAATTATGTACCTTAACCAAAAGTTTAAAATCCAAATAAATATTTATCTCCATAATAAAATTGAATAATATTATATTTACTTTTTTTTTAAAAAAATTCTATATTAACTGTTGTTTGGCCAAGAAAAAAATATCATTATCTTTACCAAAACGTTTTAATTATGACTATTAATATGCCTAATTTATCCGCAGTTCCACGTGAAACTAATTTAAAGACCTAACTACGTAGGCGCTGGATACCACATTCAATGCTCCAATAATTTGGCAGTCATAAAAAAAGTTCATTCTTTAATTTATGAAAAAGTTGGTAGTCCTAATCTAATTATACAAATTAGTTTTATAACCTAGTTAGCTTATTAGTTAATTTTGATTTATTTGATTATTATTAGTTGTTTGATTTGATTAAATAACCAAATAAGTGTTTGATTAATTAGTTTTTTTACAACAGTTTATTGTCTCAAAATGTTAGAATTCAAAAAACTACTCAAATCAATTTTTTCGATCAGTTTTTTGAAAAAAGTCATTTTGCATGTGATAAGCTATCAGCTAGCAACTAATTTATCAAATATCTTTCTACAACAAGCTAATGCTACCAATTAGTGAAATCCACCAACCTAATCAGCTATAAGTTATCAACTAACAGCTATTTATTAAACACCCTATAATTTGAATGAAATTTGTCTTTTAATTTTAGTTTATAAAGAATTACAGAAAAAAAAAAAAAATTCTTAGTTGTTCAAACTAATGCCCAATCACCTTAATATATTCAATCAGTTTGTTATCAACAGATGTATACAAAGTCCAGCTCAGATTGAATAGATGTTGCCAACTTTTGTTTTCTTCATTTAATAGTTGCGAAGTTATTAATTACGATGTTAAGATGTTGTCCACTTTCTTTTCTATTTTTCTTCCATTGAATTGTTTAATCAAAACAATGTATGCAAACATATACAACAATTTTACAAACATTTTACTATAGTACTTCTTCCAAAAAAAGGGGTAGCAGCAGCAGTAGTAGACCAGTAGTATGTGTGTATATATATATATATATATATATATATATATATATTGAATAACCAAATACTGAAAAATTCAAAAAGTCATTTTTTAGATTTCGAAACAGAACAATGTCTAATTGAATTCGTATTTCACTGTTGGAAATTATTGAATTTCCGATCACCTGAAAGTGATTTTAAATCAATTTGAAAGCAAAAAGTGGTCGAAGATAGCAACAAAGGTTTTTCCGAATACCAAAAATGGTCAGAACAAGGCTTTCGACTTGATTTAAGATCACTTTCAGGTGGTCGGAAATTCCATAATTTACAGCAGACATTAGTTTGGATATTAAAATTATTACTTAATTAATTACTATGTGGTCTAATGATACCCGGGTTGGACTTCTATTTGGAAGGTTGTGAGTTCGTGCCTTAGTGGAGACGTTAGGCTTTTTGTGTTTCAGTAGGTTGAGAAAGTATATGAACAGATATTACACAATAATAGAGTCAGTACCATTCAAAAATTAAGTTGGGTTTGAGATTTTGAGCAAAATCTTTATCCAAACTGAATTATATTATTTAATTAACATTTTAGCATTTTAAAATTTATTATATTAATGCATGCTAATGGCTCCATGTATCCACCACTATCTCCATGATTGGTTTCACTACATTTTCTCTACACCATGCATACTTGAATTTCCGATAAGTCAATTTGACACTGATAAAGTGGCGGCCGGTGGATAAGGTGGTAGGTGGTTAAGGTCAGAATGACCATTGAGATACCAGCATTAGAAACGACTCCCCTAGCTAGCTGATACCTATTCAGACTACTCATTCCATGTTCGCACATTTTTCTATATGAGAAGGGGTTCAAACTCCCGACCTCTCTTAAGGGACGAGTGTGCACAGTCACTCACGCCAACCAATCTGGTTTAATATCTTTATTACATTGCTAGTTATTACCAAATTTTGATCTTAAAATATATTGTCAATTTTCTCTATTTATATTCTTTAACTTTTTCATAATTCTTAATTTTTTTTATTATTCGTTTTTACTTAATTTCGCAATATTATTCCTAACAAGTAATATTAGAGTCAAGTCAATTGATACATATTTTTAAAGAGATTAACAGTCACCAAGTTTGATATCAAGAGAAATTTGATAGGGAATTAAAATTAAATTTTCTATTTGGAGAGTTCATATAGGAGAGTTATAACCCATACTTGTTCAAAGAAAGTGTTGGTTGGAAAATCTAATAAATCGGCTACAATGACAAATTAAAGGAATAGTGGAAAGAATATTACAATGACAATTAACAAGGCATGGCTAACCATCCAATCAGTGGCGGAACCAGCATTGTAATTGAGCGGTGTCAATGTACTAATTCAATATTATTTTCAAAGGCATAGAAACATATATATAAATTACATTTATTGGTAATGTCTTTATTTATTGCGCACTATTTAATTAATTGGACTCTGCTACACTCACAACTCACTAATATAAATACGGGACTCCTGCAGGAAACCCTGTACTCAAAACTATAAAAAATACGACTTGTTTATTCTCGATACATTGTACTTATAATTACTATCCTGGTAAACATTCTTATCATCACTAATAAAATACAGAGTTCTAATATAAATTAATAGATACAATAATTTAAAATTAAAGAAATTGAAGAAAATAATTTACTCTGTTTTTTTTTTTTTTTTTTGCGGGTCGGATCAGGCTAAGATTTTTATTGTTTGGCTTGATTTGGTGAGGCTCATATTTAATCAAACAATGATAAATGTATAATAATTTTTTTTAAATATTCAAGATTCTTTACAAAGTAGTATTCGCTCCAGACTTTCTCAAACATTTTCAGCCCAAGAGATCTAAAAGTCCATACCACCGGGGTTTGAAACTATAACCACCCATTTGGAATGATAATTGAGATGTCATCACACTATATGGTAGTTCGTATTTAATCAAACATTATTGATAAATGTAATAACTTTATAGTTTGTACTAAAGAAATTGAAAAAAAAATGATTTATTTTTTATTTTTTGGTCACTCAGGTTGGGCAAATATTTTTATTATTTGGTATAGTTCAACCTAATTTATATTTTTTTTGAAAGGACCTAATTTATATTTTAATTGTATGATAATGTCTGTTGACAACTAAAGATTAAAAAATCCGGAAAAAAAATACATTTTTCGAGTTTTTAAACAGACCATCAAAAAATTATAATGATTGAGAAAAGAAAAGTTTACATGTCATAAAGTCTGTTGATGCATTCAGGAAGTCAGCTTATGTATGTTATGACGAAGTCTACTGATGCATTGTGATTCAAAAGTTTGCTATTGGACTCCGTTACACTCGTAGTTCGAGAGTAGGGGTTGGTGACGGGTTAATTAGACAAGGTATTAGACCCGATCCAGAATGTTATTGGTATAACATGAAGGAGTCAAAATAATTAATGCAATCATTCTAATCAAATAGTAACGTAAGGAGCCGAGCAGAGAGCAAGTGAAATGATGCACTAAATGCAGAGGCAATGCACTTATTATAGGACAATAGTTATGAAGGAACCAAATGAGGAGAGTGTCGTAGTTGCTATCGATATTATAGGCTCCGTTATATTGAACATGAAAATCGTTGTACTCACTACTATAAATACGAGACTCCTGTGATAGGTTGGAGACACGCTAAAAAACTTGTATTTTGAACTATCAGAAATACGACTTGTTGTTTACTCGGTTCATGTACTCATAGTTACTATCCCGGTAAACATTCTTACCATCACTGATAAAATATATACAGAATCCTAATATAAATTAATATATACTCTGTACAATATTTTTGAATTAAAAAAATTGAAGAAAATAATTATTATTTTTTGGATGCGGGTCAGACCAAACTAAGATTTTTATTATTTGAATTGACTCATATTTAATCAAACATTGATAAATGTAATAACTTTATACTAAAGAAATTGAAAAAAAAAATTATTTTAAATTTATTTTTTGGGGTTACTTGGGCAAATAATTTTATTGTTTGGTATGGTTCAACCTAATATATATTTTAATTGTCTGATAATGCCATTTGACACCACTCAAAGGGAAAGATGAGTGGGAGGAAGGGGGATTGAAAATTGAATGTGAGATAAGAATATCGAAAACGTATTCTAAGTAAAAATGTCAAAAGTTATTTTCCACCAAAATGTATGTGTAATTTAGTTAACTTTATAACCAAACACTAAAAAATAAAACAAAAAAGAAAACCTTTTAAAATTCATTTTCTGGATTTCCAAACGGACCATAAATTTAAAAAAAAAAATCATAATGATTGAACTAAAAATGTTATTCTGTATTATTCCCAAAAAAATGTTATTCTGTATGAACTAAGTAAATAAATAAAAACCTCATAATGATTGGACTAATGTGAGTATTTCCTCCTCTACTTCAATTCCAAAGGGTGTATGTTGAATATAGCCTCTCTACTAGCCAGGCATGTACAACTAGTTGCAACTATAGAATAGTATCTCAGCAAAACACAACTCCAAAGCTGCAACTATGTTCTCTTGGATGCGTCGAGAGAGATTGTGGCAATGTTAGCGAGATACAACCCGTCGTTATCAGGAGCTGATGAATAGGAAGCCGTCGTTGATTCTTCTGTCTCTTTGCCATCCTCCTCCTCGCCTCTCACTATGAAATCTACCACACGCTTCACGTCAGACAGCTTAACGGGCTTCATCAGAAACTCTTTAGCCCCTTCCTCCAGACAACTATCGGTTAAGAAACATATGAACAACAATCAGATGGCGGCCATTAAGCATACACCGTCGAGTGAAAATCAACTAGACTGAGCATAATCATGACACGAGAATCGCAAAGTTGTAAAAGTTCAAAAATAATAGGACAAAAACTACTCGATTTCATAGCATGAAACTCGGGGCAAACCAACTTGGTAAAATTCGTTTATTGAGGATTTATTAGGTTTGGTAGTTCTCACAGGCATCAATATAGGATTTTAAGGTGTTGATTCGTTTGGCATTATGTCAGTAGTTCCTAGAGGACAGGCATTCAAAGACTTCAAGATCTCAAAGAAATTCAAATACAAATGGCCCTAAAGAATAAGTTTTTGCCAACAATGGCTAGTCAGCAGATTATAGTTTCAACCGTAAAACTTCAAATGCTCACATTACAGGCCAAATCCTATCACGCCCCCTCACGTGTGAGGTGGCCTGGGTTCCAAGCATGTGCTCCATCTCAACTAAAAGCCTAAGCTGATAGTTGGATTGCACATTAATGGCTATATGCTCAACAAACAATGTATTTACAACCGGGATTATATTCTATCTCCTCTGCCCCGAGAAGCAAAGAGTTGTATACATCTTCTACGCACGACATAAAATCAAGAATGCGGGTGAAACCTATATATATCATATACACAAGACATATATAATCAAGAGCTGGATGGTGGAAAAGGAAGCAAACCTATCAATGCGGGCTAAAATCTTTTCGGATGACATGATCACAACGGGGATTTGCCTCAATGCCGACGAACCCTGATCAAGGAGAACTAATGTATTATTATTTACAATTATGACAGTTTCAAGTTTCATTTTGTACACCAAATTAAAAACCCATTCTGCATTTAAAAATCTGGAATTCAATTCACTTCATTCTAGTACTGAAAAAGGTTGTTTGACAAACCTTAATCTTTTTAAGGAGTTCATATCCTGTCATCCCAGGCATTGAATAGTCTGTCATTATCAGATTCACCTTCAGACCCTGAAGCCAACCAAGGAAACCCCTCAACCAATTAACCAACAAAAATTCAAAGAAACACCCAATCATATAAAACATCAACCCTTTAATAATTAATCCCAGAAAAAATTTAATCTACATTTTTAGGAAAATAATTAAATACTTTAAAAATTCTTACATCAGTTGCAGCAGAGCTCTCCTCTCCATCCAAGCCCAGATACTGCAGAGCCCTGCTTCCACTATCTACTGCTGTCACTGCAATACCCACATTTCAAAAACCAATCAAAAGTTCTAGCTCAGAATTTCAAAAAAAAAAAAAAAAAAATTAAATAAAATGAAAAAGTCCCAACCTTTACAGCAAGAAATCTTCAGCATCTTCTCAATGACCTTCCTATCCACGTAGCTATCGTCGACGGCAAGGACATGCAACTCCCGCCCACCGCCGCCAAAGGTGGAAGAACAACCATCAACGGCGGCGATTTTCTCCGGTCGCATATTTCTCCCCATGTGATCAATGCGTGCACATATATTGTGTGGGAGAAAGAAAAGGAGGGTTGGTTGGTTGGGGAGACAAAGAAAACTATACAGACGTGTATATATATATATTAGGTTTTGGTTGGGTTGAAACCCAAAAAATAAAAAACTGTATAGATATACAAAGATATAGAGAGAGGTAGAGATACAGATTACAGAGAGATAAAGGGAAAGATGACAGAGGGAAAATCTACTTTAGGGAAGCAAAGACTAAAATACTGATTCACAAAGATCTTTCAAAATCTACTTAGCCACTATCTCACTGCAACCATTATTATTTTTGAAAATTTATTGCCTTCCATTCCCACATTATTCTCCTATATTTTACTCATGATGCGCCACCATAATAAATTTCACATCCCCTCCCATTAAGTAACTAAATAAAATTATATTTGATGATACAAAATTTATAAAATAATTTAATTCTTTATTTAGTTGTCATATCTTACTTAAAATCAATTGGTAATAAGTAAGTAGACATTAAACATTTAACTATGTTCCTTCATGGTAAATCATAATGCTACGTTTCGAATCGACTAGGGGCTGAACTCGGCCCACCCGACCGACACCCAACAACGGGTGATTTAAGTGGAATCTATATAAGTTTTATAGTGGTAGGACATTAGACACTCTATGTAACAAAATTGTTAAATAATTCTTTTTTGTGTGACGATGATATTACTCAGTCACCATCTGAAAGTGTAAACGCATATATAATAGTCAGTAAATCATAAAGTAAAGATAAATCACATGAAATAGACTCGACAGAATAAGAAAAGTTAAAAATTTAAATTTTCTAAAAAGTAACAAACTTGCACTAAAGGTTGTACTGTTTAATTAACAATTAATTATGAAGGATAATGAAATATGTCAAAAATTGCATCCAATAATATAAAATATGTTACTGATATGAATTGTAATTTCTTTGTTAAACAATATCATGGCAAGATATAGAACACTAGCAAATCGAATATTCTTTGAATTATTATTTTTCTTTGTGATACATCAAATATGTATATAAGAACTATGATATCACTTCATATATATTCTTTTGATTCTGGAAAATGTGATCAGGTCTCGATATGGTTATTTTATAGTACATATATTTAAAGAAAATTAGATTTTTCATTAATAAAATATGGACATGCTTTTAAAGAAGATTTCGTTAAAATAGCATATGAATTCTTTACTTTTTTTCGAAAAAGGAAAACTAGTTCATATTAATTTGTTGAAAGGTTAATTTGGCCAACTCTAGCTTTATTTTTCGAGATGATAACATATTAACTGCAGTATTATACGACAATATAATAATACATATGAAAGTAAAGAAGAGAGTTGAAAAGCAAATGAGGAAAATTAAGCAACTCATGGGATTTTCCATTAATAACTTATATATATATACAGCGTACCACTGATCTCAACCATACATAAACATAAATATAGGAAAAGTGGAAAGGTGGGATAATGGCCACCTACTGCAAAAAGTATTTATAACAATCTCCATTGACCATTATCGGCTCATACTCAGGCCTTGTTAAAAATCTGCTAAAAAATCATGTGGAAAAAACTAGTCAGGGAAAAAGTACATAAAGTATGTAAAATAATGTGTTATACCAGTTGCTTCATTAAAAATATTAGCCTAAGAAAATTCAATGGGAGAAAACTTAACTAAGGGAAAAAGAATACAACTATAAGCTTTCAGGGCATAATATTCAGGATTTTCAGGTATGTATATTCAAGGGTGCCTAGACGTTGTCGCTCCCCCCGAAGACAACAGTTTTTCAAGCCTACACATTCCAATTTTGTGAACATAATTTTCAAAAGTGGATATAGGTGTGGGTCCCGAAGGATTAGAGATAAACTGGATTAAAGCTATAGCATGCAATACTGCATGTCCCCAACAAGAAATTGATAAGATGGACTTCTATAATAATGGTCTAGCAATTTAATACGCTTAATCAAAGATTCGGCTAGGCCTTTTTGAGTATGGACATAAGGTACATGATGCTCCACTTTGATGCCCAAAACCATACAATAATCATTGAAATAGTGGGTGTGAATTCCCCAGCATTATCCATTCTTATGGATTTAATCGGATAATAAGAGAATTGAGCATTTATTTCAATAATTTTTGTAATAAATTTAGCGAAAGCTTTGTTCCTCATCGACAACAGACTAACATGAGTCCAACGAGTTGAGATATCTATAAGGACCATGAAATATCTAAATGGTCCAGACGATGGATTAATTGGTCTACAGATGTCACATTGTAATCTTTGAAGGAAAATAGGTGATTCATGTCCAACCTTAGTACGCGACGGGCGTGTAATAAATTTACCTTTCACACAAGAAACGCATGCATGCATATTGGTTTAGAGTAAGTACATGCGAGCTTGAAAGGTTATGTCTAGCGGAATTGGAAATGATCGGACCACCCATCATATGATGCCCACGATGAACCAACCGGTCATGCCATAATTGAAAAGAATGTGGATGTTTGAATTTCATGGTTACTAGTGTAACACACGGATTACTGGATGTATATAGGTATAATATAGTCCAAAAAATGATTAAAGAGGCAAGTTCCTCAACCTCTTGCTTATGACCAGTAATCAACTGAGTCATGATTAAGTACTCTTGAGTATTCATAATCTGGATTTTGATATGGAAACCATTTAATGGAATATCTTTAAAACTGAGCAAGGTACGTTTAGAGTTAAGGTACAATAAATCATCTTCAATCATCTTAATAGTGTGGGGGCAACTACGGTCGAGGTACTAAATCAAATATATTAATATCCAGTTAATATATTTCAAAATAATTATTACATTACGAATTTAATAAAGTTTAAAATAAATCATTTATAATTGAATCTATATTAAATTATTTTGCAATATGTTTTTCAATGCACATTGCTTTGTACGGTTGAAAGAATGAAAACATACTGCATGTTTTAAAAGACTATTGATTATTTTTTGAAAACCCATCTTCACAAATATAACATAATAGCAATTGTTTTCTCAAATACATATACTACACGTACAATTGTTAAGTTACATTATTATGCATTTTAAATTAAATACAAAATTTATTACATAACCACAAATCTGCATAATTAACCAAACAAATGCACCTTGATGTCCATTATTTAGAATCAAACAAAACAACTATTTAAGATAAACAATAGAACATGAAACAAAAACTAACCAAACAAGTAGTTAGAAAAAAAAAAACAAAAAAAAAAAAAGAAAAAAATAAATAAAAGAAAAATTAACTTGAAAAATATACATAGATTTTATTAATGACAAATTATCTTGTTATACTATATATGCCGCATATATGTATGGTTCTTGACTGAGAAACTAGCTTAGTAGGTAGATTAATGAGGTTTATTTATAATTTAGATGTGAGTCAACAATATACGGAAGACATAATTTGAAATGAGAGAGAACTGGTTGAGAAGATACAGAAATTTATAACTTAACCTATAAGATTAATTTAAGTGAGAGGGGGGCCAAATATTTAGAAGGAACAACAAAATTTAAAATTATTTATAATATTTTTTTAAAAAATTTAACACATATATAATATTAAAAAAAATTAGGTTGGGGGAAGCCCCCATGGAATACACATGCCTCCACCACTATCTTCAATAATCAACTCGATACCCTTGGGGAGGATAAATGGAGCTCTACCGAAGCCCACTACTTGTACCTCGTCACTAGCAATCGTTGTGATACTACTATTCGTCTTAATTGGTCAGGATATGAAAGAACCTCCTATCCGTAAAGATAGTATCTGTACGTAGTTGCTCTATCCACCAAATACAATGTTGATTCATGGTTCATTGTGTAAAAAACAATAAAATTTGTAGAGTTGTAAGGTCTGAGAGGTGAAATCCGGAAAGTAAAATTAGAGGAGTAAGGTCCGAGAAGTGAACTTCGAGGAATGCACTTAGAGGAGTAAACTCGGAAGAGTAAACTTAGAAGTAAACTTCTGAATAGTAAAATTAGCATGGAAAATCAGCAAAGTAAAATCGCTTTGCACTCATAATAATATAATTCGCATCCAAAACAATTTTGCACTTGAAATCACTTCCGGAATATATCTATATATACTTCTAGGCCATGCAAAATAACTAAGCAACGCAGAATAGATTTCGCGGGGGCCTCCGGGAAGGATTACGCCTTGCGAAAAAACGTGGCTTCATTAGAGTTATTGTTGAAACAGATTCTGCAGCCATGGTGCAAGCTCTGGAGAGTGACACAGGTTCAAGGTTTCTAGATTAGTCATGTGTTTCGGACAATCATGGTCCACACAAGTTGTATGGACCATATTTTGTGTACTGTAAAATAATATATATTCAATACAAAAATAATGTACATTCAATACAAAAATAATGTATATTATATTCAGGGAATGTATATTATTTTTGTACTGAGTGTACATTATATTATATAATGTACATACAGTACAAAAATAAGGTACATTTAGTATATTAAAAATGTACTTTTTGTTATGGTCCACATAACATTGTGTGGAGCAATAATTTGCCTGTTCCGGAAGGGCAACCAATACGCCAATTTTTTAGCCAACATCGGGCAATCTAGTATGTGGGGAACGACCATTCTGGATCACCCTCCGGACGGTATAAGGGACCTCCTTGATCCGGACGCTCGGAACGTTGTTACAAGTAGACGCAATTAATCTTTCGGGACGGGCTGGTCCCTCCCATTCACCAAAAAACAAAAAGAATAAATTTCGTGATAATGCGTATATGTAAAATATTCAATCATGATATTAAAATAAAATGGAATATCAATGGAATATCGATTAGTCGTGTACACAATGTTTTAAAAGATCCAAAAGCTTTAAAATCCAACAAAAAATGTGAAAAGTCACCAACGCAAACATAAATGTACTTTTCTATTTGAATATATTATTTGTTATAATAATAATAATAATAATAATAATAATAATAATAGTAATAATAATAATAATAATGATAATAATAATAATAATAATGATAATAATAATAATAATCTACATCTACATCTCCATCTCCATCTACATCCACATCTATACAATACATACAATACAATTCTAATAATAGCCAATAATGTTAGATCATTAATTGGAACAAAAAAATGTCCATAGTATTGTTTCTTAAAATGAATGGTTCATATTAT